CTGGGAACAGGCGCGACTTATCTAAGCGGAAATTCGGTTCAAACAAAAAAGGTGCATTCACCAACCCGAATGGCATCCAAAATTATTAACATTGAAAACGTCGAATTTAGTATAGCCCAAAGAATAAATAGATCCATACTGGATTACGCTGGTAGAGCAAGAGTTTATTGTATTGTTTTGGCAAATGTATGACATCAGTTAGAACAAAGAGGTGTGTCCAATCCAAAACAAACACTACACACAGCTTATCTCAGTTAAATCACCATAGTAGCAAAATATTATTCTCAGTCAGCGCTATTGTTAACCTTAACCTTGAAAAAAGTACGTGCTATCAAATGTATTTTTCTGAAAACTCGCTGACGCAAATATTTCGAAATTCGCGGCAAGTCTCAAAGTCGAAGATAACCTTCCAACATTGCCAAACAATCGCGAGCTGAAGTAATCTCGATTTACATCACTTTTTTTTTAAAAAGCGAAAACGGCGTTAAAATCACCCAAGCACATTAAAGGTATTTTACCTAAAGATCATTGTCTTCGCCATCGCGGCTCACCACGAAAATTGGCACACTTTCACTCGGTGATATCAAGATCGATTTTTACGTTCACCAATCCGCAAAACATCTACGGTGCGCATTACGTCACACCATCGGAGCGCTTTGTGTTTTATATCTAACGATTGTGACGTAGCGATCGAATTTTTTTATCCCTACTACTTTAGCACACACCCACGGAGGCGACCAATCCCAATGGGTTGTATCGGAATGCAAATAAATTTATTGTCATCATTGATGAAATCCCCCACGCATACATTGTTTTCGAAAGACGTGCGTCAATTCCTTTGTTTGCGCAATTTTAGGGATGATTTTGAATTGTCAAGTTCAAGGGTGTTTTTCTCAAATCGCCAGCAAAACAAGATTCGGTACCAATCTTGATCTTGAAACTTCTCGAATATTTGCCAATCCTTCAGATTGATTTCGATATTTTCAGATGTAAACACTCGCCACGCGATTTCGACTTGAAGCTAAAAACAACACGGGGGGCAAATGACACCAGTGAAAGTACTAAAAATAACGCTTTGACGTTAAAATTTCATAACGTGCATATTTTTGTAAACAGAAGTTGCCGGTCTGCGCGAGGTCACAAGAGTAAACATGTTATTCAGAAACAACTGGAGTTCTGTGACATTTCCTAATCCTGGAGCAATAATAAAAATTACCCAGTAAATAGTCTTATAAACAATGGGGATACATTTGCATATTTAAGGTGCAGATACCAACAACCATATAAATATGCAAAAATATGCAGACCTGAAACCGTATAATAAAATATCGAAAGGTACAATTTAGGCGAATCCTTAAGTCATAATAAGACAATTTTGCAATGCAGCGATCTCAAGGCACCAAATGGCATATTTTTGCATATTTTTGCTGCTAAGTAGTCAATGTAATAGGGAACAAACAAAATCGATTGCACGATCGGAGAAAAAAAATAGAACAACAAAAGCAGTAAAAATTAAATATTGGTCCTTGTTTGAACCGAATCGAATTTCTTTCGATTAAAAAAGTATTTAAAAAAGATATTAAATGTAGTTTCGGTTGTTTTAAGTGTCGTTGGAATATTCTAAAAGGTGAAACAAAGCGAAAAGAAATTTGATTCGGTTCAAAAATGGACCAATATTTCGATAATTTCAGGCAGGTAAAAAAGTTGTCGGACCTAACCTCAGTTTTTTAAATGGAACGCCCTGTAAATATATTTTAATCTAAAAAATAGCATATTGTATTATCTTTTCAAAAATATTTTAACTTTTTGAAAATCATTCGTACCTTTTTTTAAATTTTTAAAATACTTTTTAATCTTTTTAAATTTTTTTTAAGTTGTTTGAATCACGAATATTTTTTGAATATCATCTCTGCTGTGTTATATTTTTGAAAACAGAATTTAAAAAGTATTTAAAAAAGATTCCAACGATTTAAAAGGATGGCATATTAAATGTAGTTTCGGTTGTTTTAAGTGTCGTTGGAATATTCTAAAAGGTGAAACAAAGCGAAAAGAAATTTGATTCGGTTCAAAAATGGACCAATATTCGATAATCTCAGTCAGGTAAAAAAGTTGTCGGACCTAACCTCAGTTTTTTAAATGGAACACCTGTAAATATATTTTAATCTAAAAAATAGCATATTGTATTATCTTTTCAAAAATATTTTAACTTTTTGAAAATCATTCGTACCTTTTTTTAAATTTTTAAAATACTTTTTAATCTTTTTAAATTTTTTTTAAGTTGTTTGAATCACGAATATTTTTTGAATATCATCTCTGCTGTGTTATATTTTTGAAAACAGAATTTAATATGCTATTTTTCAGACTCCAGAAATTATAATCAAAAAAGGTTCAAGTGATTCAAATAAAATCGAAAAAAAGTATTTAAAAAAGATTCCAACGATTTAAAAGGATGGCATATTAAATGTAGTTTCGGTTGTTTTAAGTGTCGTTGGAATATTCTAAAAGGTAAAACAAAGCGAAAAAAAATTTGATTCGGTTCAAAAATTGACCAATATCTCGATAATCTCAGTCAGGTAAAAAAATTGTCGGACCTAACCTCAGTTTTTTAAATGGAACACCCTGTAAACATATTTTAATCTAAAAAATAGCATGTTATATTATCTTTTCAAACATTTTTTAATTTTAATTTTTTTAATTGTTGTTTGAATCACTTGAATATTTTTTGAATATCATCTCTGGTGTTATATTTTTGAAAAGAGAATTTAATATGCTATTTTTTAGACGCACCAGAAGTGATAATCAAAAAAGGTTCAAGTGATTCAAATAAAATCGAAAAAAATTCAAAAAAAGTATTTAAAAATGATTCCAACGATTTAAAAGGATGGCAGATTAAATGTAGTTTCGGTTGTTTTAAGTGTCGGAATATTTTAAAAGGTGAAACAAAGCGAAAAGAAATTTTATTAGGTGCAAAAATGGACCAATATCCCGATAATCTGTCAGGTAAAAAATTGTCGGACCTAACCTCAGTTTTTTAAATGGAACGCCCTGTAAATATACTTTAATCTAAAAAATGGAATATTATATTTTCAAAAATTGTTTTATTTTGATTTTTTTAAAATCATTCGTACCTTTTTTTAAATTTTTAAAATACTTTTAATCTTTTTAAATTTTTTTCGAAGTTTGAATCACTTGAATATTTTTTGAATATCATCTCTGGTGTTATATTTTTGAAAAGAGAATTTAATATGCTATTTTTTAGACGCACCAGAAGTGATAATCACAAAAGATTCAAGTGATTCAAATAAAATCGAAAAAAATTCAAAAAAAGTATTTAAAAAAATAAAAAAAGATTCCAACGATTTAAAAGGATGGCATATTAAATGTAGTTTCGGTTGTTTTTAAGTGTCGTTGGAGTATTCTAAAAGGTGCAACAAAGCGAAAAGAAATTTGATTCGGTTCAAAAAAGGACCAATATTTCGATAATCTCAACTTGTAGGTTAGTAAAAATGTTTGACATTTTAACTCATCGTCTCTAGTTCTGTAGATAAACATGTTCGACTTGTTACAATGGATTGTTCCTGTCAATTTCCGTTTAAAGTAATCCATTTTTTTTTTCAATATTAATCTCAATGTCATTTAGGGACCTCATCAACATTCAGTTAATTTCGTGGTTCAGGGTCGATTTTAGTAAAAAAAAACAAACATTCCAATTTTTTGATAAACATTTTTTATCGTTTAGAAACGAAGAGTTCAAAAATGCCACCTGCAAGTGCCCATTTTGCTATCAATTTATTTGTAAAGGTAGTTCTAGGTACAGCTCAAAAAACGAACAATTCACAATTTTTTTCTTCGGTTTTTGTTTGGAAATTTTAACGATTTCGACTTTTTACATAGGCTTTTAATGAGTTCTTTACGACTCTTCCACTTTCTTTTCTATCCTTCTTCCATCCACTTCACTCCTGTATTACTTTCCTTTTCTTTTTTTTTTTGCACACGACATCTAGCGTTTTTGTTCAGTTTTTCACCCCTCCTGCAGTTGTGAGTGTTGTGAGGGGGGGGGGGGGGGGGGGGTCCTTTAATTTTACTATTCTTCTACATTTGCTCTTCTAAAGATGTGGTTGGTGAAAAGGAAGGGATTCCATTGGTATGCAGCAACTGGGGCGTATTTCTTTTTGGAGTAGGGCATTACGCGTTAAGCCGCGAAAGCGTCGGTATAATAAAATGCTTAAATTTTAATTCTTTATCATTTTTAAGTTTTGTTTTAAACATTCAAACACTGTAAAACAATGTTTCATATAACCTTTTACTACAACTCTCTTTCACACTATATTCACGCATTTCTTAGACTCCTCTGTCCCTTTGTTTCTTCTATGCGCTCTCTTCCGTCCTGCTCCCCGTCCTCCCCTTCATCCTTCTGTACTGCTCCTACCTTTTTCATTCATGTTCCTTCTACGTCCTTTACAGTGAAATTAAAAATAATTTCTAAAATTGAAAATTCGTGCACGTATAAATTAATCGTGAAATTCAAACACCCTGTAGATCGGTATCGAAGCGTTTGCGGACCTTTAGTCATAATATAAACAAACAGTGGTTCCATGAATCGCTTTCCAAAAGTAAAGCGAAAATACTACGGAATTTATGTCGAACTCGCTTTTTTGAAATGTAGTATTTTGATTGTTAGGTAACTTCTTGTGCCATGTCGCTAGGGGGACAGTATCTAACAATAATATTTGACATTTCGCCATACTGAAATAGATTGCAAAACGCGCTGTAGATAAAAATATTGACAGTCCGATGTTTACCTCCAGCGGAGGTCAAAAAATAAAGCGGAGATTAAAAAAAAGTGACGCTAATCACTCGAGGCGCGTTTCTCACGTGGTGAGTACTTCGTGGAATGTGGAACGCAAAAATAACCTCCGGGTAGCACGTGAAACACAGTCACGCGCGAGCACCTTTCCCGCCGTCTCGCGCGTCGCGACGCGCCCAGCTCTTTCGCTTACCTGTTTTCGGTCATTTTATTCTTCATCCATTGCGGAATCGAAATTCCGGAACTCAGGGATCGATCGTCGGCGTCCATGGCGAAATTCTCAGCTTCCAAAAACACGTTACGTCATCGCCGAACACGCGGACCGCAAATTCTAATTTATCGAAACGAACAAGGTCGACCGACTGAGCCAGATGATGCTCAAAAAGCTGTAAATAAAAAAATCACGTGATAGTAAGATGCGAGATAATTTTATGCCACCTAGTTCAAGTGCCAGTTAGCTAACAGGGAAAACGATTAACCAATAAAAACGCTCCCTCTTTGCAGATTCCCCTATTAAATTAGCAAGGGGAAATAAATCCGACAACTTATCAACTGGATGTGGGTCTACAGGGTGTTCCATTCAGTTTGATCTAAGTGGCAACAGTGCAAATTTCGAAAATGCGCTGTTGCCACGTTAGTATTTGTGATCGAAACGACCAGATAATTGAAAAAGTAGGCCGAGAATGCAAATACAGTTTCCCAATCAAATAAAAAAAGTTCATCAAGGACGTAGAAATTGGAACACCCGGTACAATTGCAAAAATCACAAGCTGCGTGTGACAAGGATATGCGTTATTGCAAGTGCTAATTTTTTCCACTGTACGCTTGCACTTCAAAATTGTTTATTCCACGAACAATTAATGAAGTGCTAATTAAATGCACGCTGCTCTAAAGTTCGTCATAAGCAAAATAAATGAATGCTAATTGAGTATACAACTTTCTTTTTTCGTGCATTACTTACAGGGTTTTTCCAACTGATAATTCGCGATTCAGATTAACGCTAGAGGCGCTGATTTAATTTACAAATGGCGTGTATTGGTGGGAGCGGTTTGTCAACATTGGGTAATTCTATGTGAAATTGTACTTGAATTTATCCTACCGTTTTTGAGACTGGAAAATATACCCCTTAATCCTATCCTACCTGAAAGGCCTTTTTCAGAACTCGAGGCTGTCTTGAATTAGCCTGAACGCGTAATGTTCTATTTACAAATAAAGTGATCACCACTTAATATCTAGCGCACTCGTACAACTTTACACCTCGCCGACATTCCCTTACGTCGATTATGCTTCAAAACAGTCTTATTTTTCGTGCCATAATTACACTGACCACAATTTAAACATTAGATATTCTTGGATGTCTCGTGCTTTAATAAATGACGATTTAAATGTTTCTTATTTGTGGCAGACCTAATTGCACTGATCACATTTAAAATTTTTGAAAGTAAAGAGACAAAATGTGGTGTTTTAAACTATCATTGCTTTTTAAGGTGTAATTACATTGACTACAAATGAAATTTTTGAAAATGTATTTACTTTTACAGCCATTGTAAATAAACAAAATGGCGGCCTTATCCCACCAATAGTAATTACAATACGCTGCCACCAAAGGTCTCACTGAATCGCGAATTAAAAGAAAACAGCGCTGCTCTAAACCTTGACAGGGCGAAAGAGAGAGAGCAAACGTTGCTCCAGAAATTAATTAAGTGCTAATTATGCATCTTTTCCTTGCTCACTGCATAAAACTGGGCTAATCATTTTAATATACAAGGTATTTCAAAATAGTCCTAATTATGACTCTTCCACAGTTCACACACATAATTTGTGTTCAAGGGAGGGTCCCGCTGTTTGTTGTAAAATATGATAGAGCGAAAGAGACAACAAAAGTTAATTAATTAAGTGTCTCAATAATTAAGCATTTAACGTGCCTTTATTAGTAGAATGGACCCACTTTTTCCGCCATCTTAGATTTTATTTCCGTTTTAACTCGCGGGGTCAATCCAATTAAATTCGAGGGTGTTTTTGGGGACTGTTTTTCGATTATTTCTGGGAATTTTGAATAATTTTTTCGACTTTCAATTAATTTATTTCGCGCACTAATTGGCTGATTAACTTAATTCGCGCCATACAAAAAACACCATTGAGAGCTTTACCTCACTGCATTTTACATAGGTTAATTTGTTTTTAGAATGCGTTTGGAAATATGTCCATGAACCTAGTAGAGCAAGGTCTGCGGAACACAATCAAATATATTGCATAATTAGGTGCTAATTAAGTGCCCTATTCCCGAATTAAATGTTCCTTTTTTTTAATTATTACATGTTCTGCCAGGTTCATATGAACTAAGTAGAACACTACCTTTAAAACCCAAGAAAATGAATAGTGAACTAACTATAATTAGGTGCTAATTAAGTGCCCTATTCTCGAATTAAAGGCTCATTTTTTTTAAATTATTACATGTTCTGCCAGGTGCATATGAACTCATCAGAGCACTAACTCTAAAAACCAAGAAAATGAAAAGTGAACTAACTATAATTAGGTGCTAATTAAGAGCCCTATCTCCGAATTAAATGCTCCTTTCTTTTAAAAATTATTACATGTTCTGGCAAGTTCATAATTAAAAAAGGAACATTTATTTCGGGAATAGGACACTTAATTAGCACCTAATTAGTTTTAGTTCACTTTTCATTTTCTTGGGTTTTTAAGGTAGTGGTCTAACGAGTTCATATGAACCTGGCAGAACAGGTAATAATTTAAAAAAAAAAAGGAGCATTTAATTCGGGAATAGGGCACTTAATTAGCACCTAATTATGCAATGTTTGATTGTGTTCTGCTGACCTTGCTCTGCTAGGTTAATGGACATTTTGGAAATCACTTCCCTAATTGCATTGTAAAGAAATACTTCCTCATTCCTGTTAAGTATTCGACTGTCCGCCGACGCGTTAACACTGGCGCGTGACTCTAAAAAATTAGGAAAACAACTGGCAAAAACGTTATATGTAAGTGCAGAACCTCGTGCAGAACCCTTATCTATTCAGTACTTATCAAAATCAAAGCCTAATTTCGAAGAGATAATTAAATTAATTATTAAATCCGTGATTAATTTTTATTTCAAAGAAATAATTAAATTAATAAAATCCGCGTATTAAAGAGACAACCCAAATCAATTTAATTGACCTTGATTGATCCCGCGAATTAAACCGCGGAATTAGAGCGCGAAATCAATTAATTAATCAAAATAAAGTCCAAATTCCACATAATTCCCAGAAATAATCGAAATAAGTCTCCTAAAAAAACGTGGGCGTGGTTGTATTTCAGGATATTGCGGCATTGTTGCAAAGCGTTTTGGAGGAAAAACATAGCAAATGTTAATTTGCTAATTAATTAAAAGCTAATTAAATGACTCGATTAGTATTCATGAAATCCAAGAGCTGATCCAAACTTGAAAGGGCAATAGAATGGTCAAAATTTGTTTTGGTAATTAATTAGTGATATTTAAAGGTCATAATTAGGCATTAAGTTGGTTTTTCTTCTTAATTAGAGCATATTTTGCTCACTGATGATGCACTTAGGAGAGAACCTCGCATGCTTCAAAACTTGTCAGTGTAAATTTGACTTAGTAATTAATTAAATGGTCCTAATTTTGATTGTTAGCCAAAACCGCTCTTCCCCACACTAGACTTTGGTACAAATAAGAAAAGTCACCCTGTATATCGTAATTATGAGACTTGTTACAAAATTATAATATACAAGGTATGTATTTCAAAAGTGAATGACATACGTACCTGTCAACATATGTCCGTGGTCCTAATCTTGACTACTAGCACGAAACCGCTCATCCATACACTAGACTTTGGTACAATTGATAAAACTCACCCTGTATATTGTGTTTGTAAGATTTGTCCCCACATTATAATATACAAAGTGTTTCAAAAGGGTCGCTAATTTCAGTAAAACTCATACGTACCTGTCCACAAACAACATCTCAATAGTCCTAATATTGAATGCTAGCACGAAACTGAGACTCACCCTATGTATAGTGAGCTTTATCACATTACAATATACAAAGTGTTTCAAAAGGGCTGTTAGTGAAGGCCATACCACAGTGTCTAAATGACCTTAGTTTTAATTGTTGCATGAAACCGCTCTTCCACACACTGCACTTTGGTCCAATTGAGAAAACCCACCCTGTATATCATGACTATGAGATTGGTCAATTGAAAGAACATTTTAAAACACAAAAATCACCAGGCCCCGTATATACAAAGCAGATAAAATGGTACACATTAAAAACGCTTTCGCCAGACTGTATGCACAATCCTCCTTGACCTTTCCAGATTAGTGGCCATAACACCGGGACTTGCCTACGATAAATCCTACAGGGCACGAGAACTATCATAGCGCAATTACCTCCGTCTAGCTAACTGGAACAGTGGAACACTTACCCACTTCCGACCACTTATTTCTAACAATACCTGCAGCTAAATGGCATTAGAACATCTACTTTTAGCGATGACACAATTCAAATGCGGTACTTACATTGAGCACTCCACTCGTCCTCTTCGAAATGATGGCCCCCCGCGGGCGTGAGAAATCAATTTAAAACCGCACTCGACTAAAACGCGAAAAACCACAACAACGACGAACAATCTGCAGTAAATGTGGGAAAGCGATCAGCTGACTCACCCCCCCACACCCCGCGAACACATAATTCTCGACTTCCTACCATTTCCACCTATCAAAGGAGCGCGCTGATTGTCGTTAACGGTGACAGATTACGTTTTTAAGTTACAATCTGTTGATACAGTATATTTGCAAAGTAAATATTTGTGCAATTAACACTTTTAATTATAAACAATCGGTGGCGCCATCTCTCGCCGGCTAAAGGCGGACATGCAGGGCCGGACTCGCGAGCGTTCGATCGCCCCGCCGATTACCCAATCGCGATTACGCGCCGCGTGTGGGTTACGTCCCTGAATTTTGAGACGATTTTTCCCCCATAAATAATCGGCTATTTATTTTTTCTCAGACTTTCGTTTATAAACATTAAAACCAATTAACATTTAATTAATTGCAGAAACTCTACGGCGTCCGCGTAGCGCAACGGTTTCGCTTTCGTCGAGGAGAGTTCAAGTTCAAATTCATATCAGCAGCACTCGGCCTCGGTATCGGGCGCAGTTTAGACTATCGATTAGTTTCTCCATTTTTTACGTTTTCCTCGATGAAAAGCAGGTGAGTCGTTTGACGTCAGTTAAATAAATAATTAATTAGCGATTGCATGTGATAAATTTGTTGCCATGTCAACCAGCAATTTCCGTCTACTTACACATTAAGGGCAATTAAGGTTAGATTTGTTAAAACAAATTGCATCTCTTGCGGTGTCTCAATTACCGCCCACGTGATTTTTTCAAATTTCATCTGACATGCAGATTTTTCGCTCTTTTGGGAATCGGTGGACGCGTTGACCCACCAAATTTAAATTCGTCAAAAATAGCCGGTCGATAGATGGCGCCGTTAGTGACAAAATCCATTTATTGAGGTTTTTTGGTACAGTGTTGCCATCTCTCCATACATTTTGTCTCTCGAGGTCAAAAATCGAGACAAAAGTGTTCCGGTGGAAGTGGGGGTGTCGAGAGATAAGGAAGGGTGGAATGAAGTGTATTTTATGCTTAAAAAATCCCTCAATGCGAAAGGTATGTGGCCATGGGCTGGGCGGGGGAAGGTACTTTTATGATCACGATAGGGATAAATGAAGGGTACGTGTAATGATCGTTCTAGAAGCAAATGAGGGTTCATAATCATTATCGGGGATTGAGGGACGGTAGATTGAGAAAGTGTATTTTGTCTCTTAATATCAAAAATTGATGTATTAACGCGACACTGAAATTGTTATATCAGGGGTGGGGCTGGGTTACGCTTTTACAAATAGCTTTAGGGGCAAATTAAGTGTACATTAAGGAATTGTATTTGTATTTTGCATAAAGTTTGTTTCTCAATATTAAAAATTCATTTAAAATGCACGCAATGTGACAAAATTATTCCATTAGGGGTGGGGGTGGTGAAGTATTAAGGAAGTGTATTTGTTTTTTTTTCCTTTAAATGTTTTCTCTCCATATCATAAATTGATTTCATTAAAAACCATGCAATGCAAAAGGCAACATTGTTCTGTTAGGGGTGGGGGGTGGGGGGGGGGGGGGTTACGTTCTAGAATGTGGTGGTAAAAATGACTTACATTAAGCAAGTGTATTTGGTTTTTGCCTAAATTCTGGCTCTCAATATCAAAAATTGATTTTTATTAAAATCCACGCAATGCGACAGACAAAATTGTTGTATTAGGGGTGGGGAAGGGGTATAGTCACTTTTGAGGATCATCGAAGTGCCAACAAAAGGGGTACATTGAGGAAGTGTGTTTGGTTTGGGCTTAAATGTAGTCTCAATATCAAACATTAGTTTTTATTAAACCACCCTTTGCGAACGGCAAAATTGTTCTGTTAGGGGTGGAGGTGGTGATGTTTTAGAATCACTGAAGTGGCAAAAATAGCGGACTTTAAGGAAGTGTGTTTGGTTTTTGCCTAAATGTTGTCTCTCAATGTCAAAAATTGATTTTTCGAAAGGCAAAATAGTTCTATTAGGGGTGGGGGTCGTTAAGTTTTAGAATCACTGAAGTGCTAAAGGACGGGGTACATTGACTATAACTGTATTTGGTTTTCGCCTATAATATTTGTGTCTCGATACCAAATATCTAATCTTGCAACGCAAACGGGGGGAGGGGGGCTGCGTTTAGTGGTCTTTGTTGGGGAAATAAAGGGTAGATTAAGGAATTGTATTTGATTTTTGCCTACATTTTGTCTCTCCGTATTAAAAAAAATTGTTTTTAATAATCACTCAATGTGAAAAGCCCATTAATTCTATTAGGGGTGGGGTGGTTATGTTTTAGAATCACTGAAGTGGCAAAAATGGCGTATTTTAAGGAAGTGTGTTTGTTTTTTGGCTAAATTTTATCTCTCGATGTCAAAAATTGATTTTTATTAAAAACCACGCAATGCGAAAGGCAAAATTGTTTTATTAGGGGTGAGGGTGGTTGAGTTTTAGAATCACTGAAGTGCCAAATGACGGGGTACATGAAGCAATCGTATTCGGATTTTGCCCAATTTGTCTCTCGATATCAAAAATCTAATCTTGCAACAGGGGGGGGGGGGCTACATTTGTGATATTTGTTGGGGAAATGAAGGGTAGATGGAAGGAATTGCATTTGGTTTTTGCCGAGGTTTTTGCCTAAATTTTGTCTCTCAATTCAAAAATTGATTTTTATTAACCACGCAATGCAATGCGGGGGCGGTTAATTTTTAGAATCACTGAAGTGGCAAAAATCAGGTACATTAAGCAATTGCATTTGTTTTTTTTTTAATTTTTGGCTCGATTCCAAAAATGTAATCTTGCAACACAAAGACGCGGGGGGAGGGGGCTACGTTTAATGATCTTTGTTGGGGAAATGAAGGGTAGATGAGGGACTGTATTTGATTTTCGCCTAAATTTTGTCTCTCAATACGAAAAATTGATTTTTATTAAAAACCACGCAATGCGAAAGACAAAATTGTTTTATCTGGGGTGGGGGTGGTTACGTGTTAGAATCACTGAAGTGCAAAATGGATGGGCACATAAAGCAATTGCATTTGGCTTTTTGCCTAATTTGTCTCTCGATACCAAAAATGTGATCTTGCAACGCAAACGAGGGCGGGGGGCTACGTTTAGTGATAATTGTTGGGAATTACGGATTATTCCGGGGGGTGGGGGTAGGGCAGCAGAAAATGTACATTAAAGTATTATACTTTGCTTATATTTTGTGTCTCAATACCAAAAACATTTTAATTTTTTTTAAAACCCACAATGCAGATAAATTGTTCAATCAGGGGCGGGGGAGGAGTAGAAGGGGCTGATGGCGTTTTATTATCGTTGCACGTAGCGAATTAAGGAATTTAAAAATGTATATTTTTTTAAACTGCAAGAGTTAGTGGTTTCAAGCCAAAGTTGTCAACTTTGTTGGATGGGGAGGGGGGGGGGGGAGTAAGGGTACATGGTATTTGGTTTTAATTTGATTCTTTCAGATGTTCTATTAGGGGTGGAGGCGGATTACGTTTTGCGACTGTTTTCGGGCGCAAATGGAAGGGGGTAGATTAAGGATTTTTTTACTAAAGTAAAAATCGAACAAAAAATAGTAGTAGGTACCTAGCATTATGGGTGAGGGGGGGAGGGGGGTAGCCAGACTTAATTTTACAAGAATTTTCCACCTCCTCGCATATTATAACCTCCTGATACGAAATTGGAAAAGATTTAAAACGAAATTTGGCTTCGAAATATTATTGTGGGTAATGGGAAAGGACCTCCTCGACTATTATGTTCTCCTGGTAGCCAGACACAATTTTACAAGAATTTTCTGATTGGCACTTCGTGTATTAGGAGCTGAAACACCTCCTCGCACATTATAATCTCCTGATACCAAATTGGAAAATATTTAAAACGAAATTTGTCTTCGACATATTTTTCTGGGTGATGGGAAATGACCTCCTCGACTATTATGTTCTCCTGGTAGCCAGACAAAATTTTACAAGAACTCTCTGATGGCACTTCGTGTATTAGGAGCTGAAACACCTCGCACATTATAACCCCCTGATACCAAATTGGAAAAGATTTAAAACGAAATTTGGCTTCGAAATATTTTTGTGGGTGGTGGGAGAAGACCTCCTCGACTATTATGTTCTCCTGGTAGCCAGACAAAGTTTTACATGAATTTTCTGATTGGCACTTCGTGTATTAGGAGCTGAAACACCTCGCACATTATAACCCCCTGATACCAAATTGGAAAAGATTTAAAACGAAATTTGGCTTCGAAATATTTTTGTGGGTGGTGGGAGAAGACCTCCTCGACTATTATGTTCTCCTGGTAGCCAGACAAAGTTTTACATGAATTTTCTGATTGGCACTTCGTGTATTAGGAGCTGAAACACCTCCTCGCACATTATAACCTCCTGATACCAAATTGGAAAAGATTTAAAACGAAATTTGGCTTCGAAATATTTTTGTGGGTGATGGGAAAAGACCTCCTCGACTATTATGTTCTCCTGGTAGCCAGACAAAGTTTTACATGAATTTTCTGATTGGCACTTCGTGTATTAGGAACTGAAACACCTCCTCGTACATTATAACCTCCTGATACCAAATTGGAAAAGATTTAAAACGAAATTTGGCTTCGAAATATTTTTGTGGGTGGTGGGAGAAGACCTCCTCGACTATTATGTTCTCCTGGTAGCCAGACAAAGTTTTACATGAATTTTCTGATTGGCACTTCGTGTATTAGGAGCTGAAACACCTCGCACATTATAACCCCCTGATACCAAATTGGAAAAGATTTAAAACGAAATTTGGCTTCGAAATATTTTTGTGGGTGGTGGGAGAAGACCTCCTCGACTATTATGTTCTCCTGGTAGCCAGACAAAGGAAGGGTTAAAGGGTCTTAATTCCTTTTTGTGTAAATTATATTTATTATATTGTCGTATATAGTTTGCATATTTCACATTAAAGATGCAAATTTATTGTTGAAACGCGAACCGGCGCCGAATAGTTCGTAGTCGACTTGGTGCCGTGCACAGGACAGAATGGCCTAGAAACTTAAGGCACCAGTTTCAGAAATATGGGGATAACTCGCTATGTTATGCGGAGGGTGCATTGCGGAACCCGAACGGCATACAATTGCACCTAAATAGCTCGTTTATCGCACTGATTTATTTTTCAGGTGAGACCATAATGGAAGACCAACAGTCCAGCGTTCCCGACAGGAAGCTGGGCCAGAACGGCATCGTCCAGCCGTTACTCACAGACCTGTACCAAATAACAATGGCGTACGCGTATTGGAAGTCCGGCAAGTGCGACGACCTCGCCGTCTTTGACTTATACTTTCGACGGAACCCGTTCCAAGGGGAGTTCACCATCTTCGCCGGCTTGGAGGAGTGCGTGAAGTTCGTGGACAAGTTCGCGTACTCGCAGAGCGACCTGGATTACCTGAGGCAGATACTGCCGACGATGGAGGGGGAGTTCTTCGCGTATTTGGCCACGCTGACGGCGAGGGACATCACGATCTACGCGATCGAGGAGGGCTCGGTGGTATTTCCGCGCGTTCCGCTGATACGGGTCGAGGGGCCGCTGATCGTGGCGCAGCTTCTCGAGACGACATTCCTGAATCTGGTCAACTACGCCAGCTTGATGGCGACGAACGCGGCGAGATATCGAATGGCCGCCGGAAATCTGACGCTGTTCGAATTCGGGTTGAGGAGAGCGCAAGGTCCGGACGGCGGCCTGTCCGCCTCCAAGTACGCGTACATCGGCGGCTTCGACGGGACCAGCAACGTGCTCGCCGGAAAACTCTTTAACATCCCGGTCAAAGGCACCCACGGCCACGCGTATATAACCTCCTTCACCAGCTTCTCCGACCTAAAGACGGCCGAGTTGAAACACCACGACGGTAACCACTCCCAAAACCTGCTGCAACTGGCCAAAAACTGGCGTACGAAGCTGGCGCCGGTCTTCAAAGTTCTAGTGGGCGAAATAAGCGACGGGGAGCTGGTCGCCTTCATCTCGTTCGCAATCGCGTTCCCCCACCAGTTCATCGCCTTAATCGACACTTACGACGTGGTCAAAAGCGGACTGCCCAATTTTTGCGCGGTCGCCCTCGCACTCAACGATCTCGGCTATCGCGCCCGCGGCATTCGCATCGACAGCGGAGACCTGGCGTACCTCTCCATAGTCTCGCGCGAGTACTTCACCAAAATCAGCGAGAAGTACAAGCTGCCATGGTTCAAAGATCTCATGATAATGGCGTCGAACGACATAAACGAGGAGACAATACTGAGCCTGCACGACCAGGACCACAAGATCGACTGTTTCGGAATCGGCACGCACCTGGTGACCTGCCAGAAGCAGCCGGCGCTCGGCTGCGTCTACAAGCTGGTCGAGCTCAACTCCATGGCGCGCATCAAGCTGAGCCAGGACGTTAGCAAGGTCACGATTCCCGGCAAGAAGGACGTTTACCGGCTGTACGGCGAGAGCGGTCACTCGCTGGTCGACCTCCTCCAGAAGTACGACGAGAGCCCTCCCGAGCCCGGCAAGAAGGTGCTTTGCAGGCATCCGTTTGAGGAGTCGAAGCGAGCCTTCGTCACGCCGAGCAAGGTCGAACGGCTCTACAAGATCTACTGGAAGAACGGCGAGATCTGCAAGCCGATCAGAAACATGCAGGAGATCAGGGAGCGAGTGAAACGATCGATGAGGACCCTGCGCGGCGATATTAAGAGGAATTTAAATCCGACTCCCTACAAGGTATCCGTCAGTGACAAGCTGTACAGTTTCCTACACGAGCTGTGGTTACAAAACGCCCCTATTGGCGAATTGTCGTAAACTTCTTGCCGTTTTTAGAAGTATTATTTTTTCGTAGGGCTTAATATAGTTGATCAGTCACTAGTTCTTAGCATTGTGTTACGTAGACAAGAAATAAAATTTCTTTACCTGGGAAGCTGTAAAAATTGTTAAAAAGCATTTTGTAGAAGAATAAAGTGTTATTTTTTTGTTTAAAGAAACTGGTTTTCCATGAATAGGGGAAAATTTTTTAATTCGGCTCCAAGGACCAACTTGTAACCGCCGATGACAGGTTCAATTTTCTTACAATGTACGCATTTTTCGCCTGATTGCCGTACGCAAAAAAAGACTATCCCAAAAAAATATGTTAAATGGCGAAACGCACTGCATTCTGTGATCCTGATACAAACATTTTTGCGAAATTGTAAAGGCGGTATGGAATTGAGAAGGTTTGTGTTAACAAATCGGAAACTTAATGATCCTCGCAAAGAAGGTGATTTTGGTAAGAATTTTGGAATCCTCAAAAAAAATTTTTTAATTATAATTGAATTTCTGCGATCCTGGTAGTTTATGGTAATTCATCGATGCAAATTTAGGTTTCGTAGAGCACAAAAGGTGAACAGATTCTGTAATTCTGATTTTTCCAAGAATAAAATTATGAGGGTAGCATAAAAAAAGACAGGTTGACTCGCTAGTTCCTGCAATCGTGACTTTTCAAGAGTGCCATATTCAAGTCCTTGAAAAACCATGAGGAGTCCTTTACGGTTTTTCAAATTCGTTCATGTTTTTTAGGACCCTTCGCTTCTTTTCTATGGTTAAAGGCGAGGTTCAAGGCCTTTGAAAGACCATCAAAATTTTTTTAATTGATGGATTACTCAAATTTAATAGGGGGGGGGGGGGGGGGGCTTCAGTTTCTAATTTCTGAGGAACGTATTCGAAACTTACAACTACACGAGTATTTTAGTTACCAGGAGGACGCTAGGGAAATTTTGTTAGATTTCACTTTCACTCGAACTTTTACATAATGTTGTATCAGGACAACATAATAATGAACGAGGTGCTGTTTCTGTTTTTAATACAAGGAAGGTTTGTCAGGTGCCGTTATCTGGATACCAAGAGAACATAATCGATAAGAAGGTCCTTTTCGAAACTCAACACTGCTATAAGTACTTAATTTTTGGAGTATATTATCAGGAGAATATAACGTGCTAGGCTGCGTTTCTGGTTCTAATAATACATTTTTTTCTGGGTACTGGGAGAAGTTTTTTCTCGAGCTCAAGGGAAAGGTGGTACAGTTTATTTTCGATTAGACCTCTACACATTACCAGGAGAACATATTCCACCATAGGGTATTTTTGGGCTAAATGTTTTTACAAAATTTGATTTGCTACTAGGAGAACATAATCGAAAATGAGGTGCCTTTCGAAGATCAAGGGAAACGTTTATACACTTTATTTTCGCTTAAACCTTTACAAATTTAGTATCAGGAGATTGTCAGGTGCAAGAGCGTGTTTCTGCTTGTAATTCATCCAGTAGCTGGCGAAAAATGTTGCAAAATCTAACTGGATACCAGGAGAATATAATCAAATTAGTGAGCTCTTTCTTGAAGCTTCAGGAAAGCGTTGATGCATAATATCTGGTGTATCAGGATAACATAACGAGCGATGTTATGTTTCTGGTTTTAATACATTTAGAGCCGGTTCTACAATTACAGCTATTCGCTGAATAAGATATTCTTGGAATAACTGCCATAGCAACAACTATCCCATTGGTTGACCCAATGGTAACCAACGAAACTGACGAAGTTTATTCTAGGTATAGCTTATTCTCAGTATATACCTGCATTGTAGAATCGGCCCTAAATGTCTTACAGAAACTGGTTATAACATTTAGTTGGATACCAGGAGAAACTAATCGATGGGGAAGTCCTTTTCGAAACTCGAGTAAAATGGTGCTGTACTTAATTTTCGTTAATCTAGGAAGTTAATAATGTGCTAAGCCATTGAACGTGAACGTGAACAAAAATCAAATTGCAAATTGCCAAAAACAACCGATCACCAATTTATACAATTCAAAGAAATTTAAAATAACTTTCAGTTTCCTTCTGCTGCGAATTAATCCCATTTCTCCCCGGAAAATGTCGCGCCATTTAAAACATTATTATTGAATTTCTGCGATCCTGGTATAGTGGTTAATGGTAAGTAATTCATCGATGCAAATTTAGGTTTCGCAGAGCACAAAAGGTGAAAAGATTCTGTAATTCTGATTTTTCCAAATATAAAATTATGAGAGTAGCATAAAAGAAAAGAGGTTGACTTGCTAGTTCCTGCAATCCTGATACAGTAATTCGCATCAGGACACCAGAGAGTAGTTTACAAGTCTTAGGCTTTCTTGCGTTTCTTTGACCCTAATACAGCAATTTAACAGGAGAAATTTGTATCAGGAGAACATAACAAAAACTCAAAAAGATTTTACTCTATTCTGCAAAAAAAAAAAGGTCAACGTATTTTATTCCTCCGACACTCCTGAGGGTTACCGGAGGCGGGCTGTTCAGGGTTTCCACGCCCTCTTCAGCCGGAGAACATGTAACAATGGGTAACGTTAGGGATTGGAATGGAAGAAACAGAGTTAGCATGCTGAGGGACAAGAGTACTGTTCCAGCATTCGCCCCGTAGATTTCAACATAATGGCGAAACTACGCAAGTTTGAGGAAAAACCCCCTGAAAAAACCCGAGACAGAGCAGTCGGCAGCGAGAATCGAACCTACAACCTCTCGAATAGCAGTCGGTCAACACTACCACTGCGCCACCGGCTACTTCGGTCGAAGTAGATATAAGATTGAACCTGCCCCAGTTCAAGGTCGTTCGCCACCTGGTAGTGACCTTGGACTTGGACTTCTGGACTCCTAATACAATCTTCCATTAGCATCGCATTGGTAAATCATCATCATCGCATTTGATTTAATTGTGTTATTACGAGAACAGATGAAAGCGAGGAGGTGTTCCAAGATTTCTACCAAAAGTCCAGTGCAGGTATCAGGACAATAAAAGCCGCGAGTAGTTTGTTAAGTAAATCCGTTGTTTCGACCTCTGGGACCTTGATAATTTGTACTTTAATGCCAATTACCTGTTAAGTACAACATAAAAATGAGCACAAATTAGGAGCAAACAGATATCAAATGCGAGAGTAAATAAATACAGAGTTTTTTCACTTCTGTGCTCCTGATACAAGCAATCATTGCCATTAGAACCATAAATCAACTTAGTCGACTCTTGCACAAATTAAAGTAGCGAGATTTATGTTGGCCAACTGATTAGAAAACTATAAGAAAACACATTTCTGTATCCCTGATACAACAGAATCATCAGATCAAATCAAATTTCTTGACTTCTGCGCCCCCGATCAAGGTGATCGTGTTTATTTCAATATTTTTATTAGGAGAACATAAAGAATACGAAGTATACCAAAAATTATAAGTAGTGTCTTTCACTCATTTAGTAACAATGAAAGTCTCACCTGAATAAAAAAACCAAGAGAATAGCTGAGGATTCTCCATTTCAATGCTCCCGATACAAAAATTCATTCCTTCAGGACGCCAAAGAAATCAGCCTCCTCGACTTCTGCGAGCCTGATGATTGTGAACGCCTCCTTGTTCATTTTGCGGTTAGGGTTGCGAGGGCTTCAAAACTTAAGGTGCTTCTAAACTACGTTCCTAATCGGTTGCAGTGATTTAGAGTTGTTCCATTTCTGTGCTTCTGATACTAAAAATCATTTTTTAAGGCCCATTGGAATCAAATAAATAGGCAGCTCGGACGACATCTGCGCTCCTGATGAGGGGTCCAAAAAATTAAGTTTCTTTGCCATGAATAAATAAATCACGTAATTTTTGCATTTCTGTGCTCCTTGAAGACGAATTGACATTAAATCGTCAACGTCTGTGATCCCTGTCAGGTACCTCGTCGTTCCTCATGTGAAATGGTAAGATGAATAAAAACAACAGTTGGGATTTTACATTTCTGTGCCCCTGATACAAAAAACGTATTTAGTGAGCAGCGACTGTTCCATAATTTAAGTTACTTCTACGTTGCTAATGTGTTTCACCGATTACAGTGATATAAATAAAAAGTTTTTGAATTTCTCTGCTCCTGATAAAAAAATCCACTCCGCTCCTGTATCCTTGGGAAACATATTTCGACAATTTTAGTGACATTAATTAAAAAACGCCAGTGAGTTGTTGCAATTTTTTCTCTCCTGTGCTCCTGATACAAAAAAAATCCTATGGAATCAAAAAAATGAATCAGCATCCTTCGCTTCTTGGTCCCTGATTAGGGTGATTATTTTTATGTCAATTTTTTAAGAACGAGAACATAGGTCGTGTGACCAGGAGGCGTGGTGACCAAATTTCCCGTTGCTCCTATACTACTTTTCTAATCTGTTTGGTGTCACGTTAATAAAGATCGCGAGCGTCAGTTGACGATCTTTCATTTCTGTGCTCCTGATACAAAAAATCAACTAACAAATCAGATTTTTCGACTTCTGCGCCCCTAATGAATCCTTTCGTTTCTAGGCCACCTTCCTTATTAGGAGAACATAAATGTTGCTCTAGGTTCGTAATTTATTTCACCGATCTGAATGGCATTGAATCAAATGCGAGAGTTCCAGTTCTGTGCTTTTGATATATAAAATCATTTTGGGGAGTAGATCAAGATGAAACTAACCGGCATTCGTTTTCAAGATTATTAGAGGTTTTTTTTTGCGGTGGCACATAAAAGTTGCTAGGCACTTAGCGGCGACCTCAGAAAGTAGGTCAAGGTCAAACACAGTCGGAGCGGAGAGTTCCATGGCCAGTGTCATTAAGATGCGAGCGATTCAAAAATGGCCCACCGTTCACAGTCCACAGATTGCTCGTCATTTAAAGTCCAAAGGTGGGTTGCCGTTCAAAGTGCAAAGGTCGCCGTTTTAGACACCATTTTGTGGTGTCATATTTCATGTTTAAGATAGCCAGAGGTCATTTACCCCAGTTTTGTGGTGTCATATTTTATTTTCATAGGGGAATACACAATTTTTGTGAGCCATATGGGGCCGAAGCTAACTCAACGCCATGTAAAATCCCATAAGGAGATTTTCTAGTGTCAATTTCATTGGAAAGTGACTTAAAAAAACTACGACATTGAAAACCAAATAAAGGTCATCATTCGGGTAAGATGGATAAGAAAAGCGCGAAAGACGCGTGCGTCAGGGTCAAGTGAAGCGATAAAAAAGGGAATGGAGGACATGCAGGAAGCGTTTAGAAAAACAATGACGAGGCGCCAGGCTTAAAGGAAGCGTAAAGGTAACACAAAGTAGACATCGAACTGCAAAAAAAAGATGCTAATAATGTATGTGGCAAACGTAAATGATGAGCACGCGAAGGGTTGTAAAGATAGCGTGAGGAAGGGGCCTGAAGAAGACGCCACAAAAACTTAAAGGAAGCTGTAACGGGTGGTCGGTTTAGAATTGGAAATGTAATTTTTCGAATTCATATTGTGGCAAACAGGAAAACTTGCAAATGTACCGCTTCACAGCAAGCGTGAACGAAAGTATGTCTGGCGATAACGAGCCATATCAGGAAACGTATTGTACCAAGCGAGTGCGGTTGCCACGATCTCTTCGGACTAAAAGTTTCGTTCCCTATTGGTTGAAAGAGTCCGTTTCCAATTTGATTTGGGCAACATCTTATGCGATAACATTTTATACACAACCGCATTCGGCGGGAAATTTAAAAGACACTTTATTTATATTTACTCACACACAAAAGGGTTAACTTAAAAAAAATTAACACAGCGGAACATTGGCGCTTTGTTCCAGTGTAGAATAACAATATCGAGTACGTATTAATTTCGCGAAATTGGGGCAACACGTATGAACATTTTGGCTAGGCATTCACCACGAAGATAACGTCACCAGGGTGGTACAAACAGTCATGTACCAGTTCCATTTTTAAAGAGGGCGACATTTTCCGGGGAGGAATGAGATCAATTCGTAGCAGAAGGAAATTTTAAATTTCTTTGAATTGTATAAATTGGTGATCGGTTGTTTTTGGCAATTTGCAATTTGATTTTTGTTTAAAGTAAATTTGATATTCCTGAAGAAATCGACCTATGAGAACTATTTGCATAAAAAGATTCTGTATTGTATTTATTGTGAAGAAGGGAATACAAGCAGAGTGTAATGAGAGTGGCGAGGCAGATAGTTTTAAAGAAGAATGCAACACCGGGGGGTATTACATGGACACTTAACTATATTCCTCTGATACAAAACATTAACGAAAATTAAGTATAGCGCCATTTTACTCGAGTTTCGAAAAGGATCTCCACATCGATTAGTTTCTCCTGGTATCCAGCTAAATGTTATAACAAGTTTCTGTAAGACATTTGATGTATTAAAAGCAGAAACAGAACATCGCTCGTTATGTTATCCTGATACACCAGATATTGTGCATCAAAGCTTTCCTTAAGCTTCAAGAAAGAGCTTCCTATATCGATTATATTCACCTGGTATCCAGCTAGATTTTGCAACATTTCTCGCCAGTTACTGGATGAATTACAAGCAGAAACACGTTCTCGCACCTTATAATCTCCTGATACTAAATTTGTAAAGGTTTAAGCGAAAATAAAGTGTATAAACGTTTCCCTTGATCTTCGAAAAGTACCTCTTTTTCGATTATGTTCTAGTAGCAAAACAAATTTTATAAAAACATTTCGCCCAAAAAGACCCTATATGGTAGAATATGATCTTCTGGTAATGTGTAGAGGTCTAATCGAAAATAAACTATACCACCTTTCCCTTGAGCTCCAGAAAAAACTTCTCCCAGTAGCCAGAAAAAAATGTATATCTTTCCAACTCGTTTATTAGAACCAGAAACGCAGTCTAGCACATTATATTCTCCTGATACTCCCAAAATTAAGTACTTATAGCAGTGTTGAGTTTCGAAAAGGACCTTTTTATCGATTATGTTCTCTTGGTATCCAGATAACACCACCTGACAGACCTTCCCTGTATTAAAAACAGAAACAGCACATCGTTCATCATTATGTTGTCCTGATACAACGTATGTAAAAGTTTGAGTGAAAGTGAAATCTAACAAAATTTCCCTAGCGTCCTTATTAATTATGTCCTCCAGAAACCAATTTCGAAAAAAAATTCAAAGGGCTGTAACTTTTGAACTAGTAGCCCAATCTTGGAACTGTTTGAAATTATGGATTCTACAGGCCACATTCTATAAGAAAATTTTTTTTCCGGGTCGATCTGAGACAATTTTTTTTTCGGGGCTCAAAAAAAGGCAGTGTATAACCTTCCTTTTTTACCAAAAATCGACTACACCAAAATTTCTCGGGAAAACACTTTTTCTTATTAATTTTGGTGCGTAGAATCCAAAACAATTCGTACTTTTTCGATCTGACTTCTCAATCAAAAGTTATAGACTAGAAACCAATTTCGAAAGAAAATTCAAAGGGCTGTAACTTTTGAACTAGTAGCCCAATCTTGGAACTGTTGAAATTATGGATTCTACAGGCCACATTCTATAAGAAAATTTTTTTTCCGGGTCGATCTGAGACAATTTTTTTTTCGGGGCTCAAAAAAAGGCAGTGTATAACCTTCCTTTTTTACCAAAAATCGACTACACCAAAATTTCTCGGGAAAACACTTTTTCTTATTAATTTGAGTGCGTAGAATCCAAATCAATTCGTACTTTTTCGATCAGACTTCTCAATCAAAAGTTATAGACTAGAAACCAATTTCGAAAAAAATTCAAAGGGCTGTAACTTTTGAACTAGTAGCCCAATCTTGGAACTGTTTGAAATTATGGATTCTACAGGCCACATTCTATAAGAAAATTTTTTTTCCGGGTCGATCTGAGACAATTTTTTTTTGGGGCTCAAAAAAAGGCAGTGTATAACCTTCCTTTTTTACCAAAAATCGACTACACCAAAATTTCTTGGGAAAACACTTTTTCTTATTAATTTGAGTGCGGAAATCCAAATCAATTCGTACTTTTTCGATCTGACTTCTCAATCAAAAGTTATCGACTAGAAACCAATTTCGAAAAAAATTTGAACTAGTAGCCCAATCTTGGAACTGTTTGGAATCATGGATTCTACAGACCACATTGTATAAGAAAATTTTTTTTCCGGGTCGATCTGAGACAATTTTTTTTTCGGGGCTCAAAAAAAGACAGTGTATAGCCTTCGTTTTTTTACCAAAAATCGACTACACCAAAATTTCTCGGGAAAATGTTCCTCTGATACAAAATATTTAGAAGTTTAAACTAAAATACTGTGTAGTTGAAACTGAAGCACCCCCCCCTTATTAAATTTGAGTAATCCATCAATTAAAAAAAGTGTGAAGGACTTTCAAAAGCCTTTAACCTCGCCTTTAACCATTGAAAAGAAGCGAAGGGTCCTAAAAAAACCATGAACGAATTTCACAAACCGTAAACGACTCCTCATGGCTTTACATGGGAGAAAGCTTTTCAAGGACTTGAATATGGTCCTCCTGAAAAGCCTTAAAAAGATGAGGCCTTTGAGAAACCTCAAAACTTGTACAGTCTTTAATAGTTCTTACCCCGAAGGTGCTAAAAAAAGAGTTTTAACGTTTTCAGACCAAACTGAGCATTGAGGAAAGACTCCAAAACTTTTTGGAAGCCTGAAGAAGGCATAAAGCGTCTAGTAAAACGCATGGTCTCTTTAGAAATGGACGTATTGTTTCGAATTTGTATTTTATTCAACATAAGAAAATTTACACATATACCGCTTCATAGCGAACGTGAACAAACGCATGTCTAGAAATAAAAGCGATAATAACAACGTGTACATTTTCAGTCTGAGTTGGACCGTCAGCGAGCACGTACCATTTTTTTATACGCCAAAATTATTCTTCGCTTTGGCTTCAAGAGTGACGCTAAAGCTATTTTTTAATCGGGTCTTTAAGAAGCGTTAATTGCGACCCAAATGGTGACAAAGTGCGAGTTACCTGCAAGTTTGACTTTGCGTTGGGATGGCAGTTTTAGCCTAATTCGTAACAAGGCCGTTTATTTACGAGTGATAAAACTTACGCGAAGGAACATTTTCGAGCCGCGGAAACATCGGCATTTTATTCCTGTGTATAACCACGATCTCGAGTACGCGAAATTAAAACCGGTTTGCGCAAGGAAAACGCGAAAAAAATGCGACGGATGCGTAAAGAGGACGTGAAGAGCTAAAAAGGAGAGAGGTAACAGGACGATGACGTCAAGCAGGCGTGCGGGAGATGTGAAACTGTAAAGGGCAGGGGGTGAAAGACATGTAAATAAAATGAAACCTACACGAAAATAGTTTCTTAATAACATTGTATAAAATAAGTACTAGATACTACTAGAAAATTGAGACAGGCAAGAAATGCAGGATTTTCACACTAACTAAAACGTTAAGTACATACAATAAATAAAACGGTATAGTGGTTATAGGTAAAAATCACAAAGGTGTCGTACGACTGTCGAACGTCACCTTCTTCTTTGGGTTATAATCTTCACTCTGGCCGCTGTCGGTCGTTTCCGCGTCGCTTAAGTTCCCATCCAAACTACGAACCATCGAACTGGTAAAGCTGAAGTTGTTGTCGGAGCCGATCTCGTCGACGTCGTCCCCCTCGTCGCTCAACGACGCGCCGTCCGGGTCCACCTTCCTCCCTTCGAGGTAGCGAACTTCGCCGGCGCACGCGATGTAAACGCCCCGCCTCTCGCGACCTAAATGCTGCACGCTGCTGAAAGGCAAGGTGAAGCAATCGGTGTTCAGCAGCGAATCGACGCTGTTTTGCAACCGATTGCAGGTGTCCGGCGTGATTTTAATGATTTCGACGGACGCGAATTGTACGACGTGCAGGTAGGGGGCGTGATAGTGAAACGCCTGCGGTAGTCGGTTCCACTTCAGCTCGGCTTTGCGCGAGTGCCTGCCGTATTCGTCGACGAACACCGCGATCTCGTTGAAACAGAGCAGGTACTCGATCGGTTTGTCGGATATTTTAATTATGCCGATGGGGAACGAGCCGGCCTCGTAGCACATCATCACCTGGCACAGCTTCTTGTCGGAGAGATCGAGGAACTCCTCCGCCTCGAAGGTGTTCAGGTCGATTTCGAAGTACTTGTTGGCGCCGACGATTAGACTGTGCTCGGTGAAGAGCAGGCAGCCGGTCGGTTCGGCGGTGTCGAGAATGCGAACCGGCACGAACTCGCCGAGGTTTCGATCGTGGATCGCGATCACGAGCTGCTTGGAGGTGGCCGCGCTCAAGGCGAGGTTTCCGCCGATCGCCGACACGTCGAACAAGTGGAAGCCGTGCAGGTTGTTCATTTTGACCGATTTGAACATTAGGGTGGGGTTCGAGCACGGCGCCGCTCTCGACATGCTCGCGAGGTGGTAGAGGTTGCACGTGATGAGCGCTCGGGTCGAATCGGCGATCATCATGCACGCGTTTATCGACGGTAGGGTCAGTACTTGGTAAACCTGCAGGGGGCCGGCGATGTGGACGAGCCCCTGTTCGTTATAGGAATACAAACCCTGTTCGGTACCTAGCAGCTTGGTCGCGTTGAGGTCCACCAGGCAGTTCAGGCTCAAATCCTGAGGGTACTTTAGGACGACCTCGCCTTCGTATTTTTCAAGTTGCGTTTGATAAATTGAAGTTAGCGCTGGAAGTAAAGACCATCCTTTATCTATCTTTATGATCACGGTCAAAATTACCTTTGGACCACTTCTCCTTGTCGTTCGCATTTAGAGTCATAAGCGTCACGTGCTTCGGCGGCCAGCAGCTACTATTCACCTGAAGCTTGATAACAAACGGCAAGTCGCTGGCTGCAATGGGCGCGTGGATTTCCGACGCGACCGGTTCCAAAATGACTATTCCGTGACTGTTGGGCGATTTCAATTCGATGGTCTCGACGGGGAATAACTGAGGGGTCGGAGGTTGCGAGTACATCTTCAACGTGGTTGGCGTAAGGCAAGCGTAGTGCCGCTCCCAGGCGGTGTTGCCTCGCCTATTTCAGGCAAATAATTACGGTTCAATCGAGGTGCACACAGAGAGGGATGCGCAAATTTTTCATTACATCTACACACAATTAATATCAACACTTTCGCGAAATGAAAGCAATCCCGGGTTGCTTGGATTCGCAATTCATGCGAACTTTTCCTCCACCAAACCTATTCATCACGAAGGAAACGGTTCCAGGGTGGCCAACTGTGGCATCGAAGCTGTTTCCATATTTCTAATGAGAGATAAGCTCAATTGTTTCCAGAAGAAAATATTACCCACGATATGTAGACGTCGGTTATTTTTAGTAATTTTAATATTCCTAAAGGAATCGACCCGTGAGAATTACTTGCATAAAACAGATACGAATAAAAATCCCCACCAGGCCCCACGGTGTGACATTTTTACTTAAAACTCTAAGCCCTGAAGAGGACCCGCGTGATACTTTCGAAAGGAACCATCGCATTTTCTTTTTTTGACGAGTATATTCCTTGCTCCACGGAATTGTGGTTCGTTTGATAGCCTTTTCTTTAAAATCTTCATGTGAGCATTAACGCTAAACATTTATGGGTGAGAATATAGTACGAGGGGGGGGGGGATGAAGGGGGTCTGGAATACCCCCAGTAATATAAAATTACTTGTCTCTTTCTCTACAATCATCACTATCCTGAAATTCGTTTACCCATATGAATAAAAATCTCCTTTCTCTAGAATCATCAGTATCACGAAATTCATTGATCAATAAGAATAAAAATCTGATATTCTGGGGGGCATTCCATATCACCACACTCGCCGGTATGGAATACCCCCCCCCCCCCAGCAAAAATTAGTTATCCCTTTCTCATCACTATCATAAAATAATTTTATACGTTCCAAAAAAATGCACATCATCAAAATGAAGAACAAAAAATTCAAAAAACCTCAAAAGTGAGATCCAAAAATTGTTAATCCTTTCTTAGATTCTGGACCTGGAAAGATAAAATGTACACAAAAGAAATTCTGCTAACGCAGTGTTCTTGAATTGAATTTTTTTTGTAAATCCAAAAAAACTCCGCATCGTCAAAATCAAAAACAAAAAAACCTCAAATGCATCTCATTTGAAATTTTTTCGTAAAAGAAGACTGGTACCTAAATAAAAAATAGAGATATGGCTGAAACGCTAAGGCGTACATAAAACAAAACAAAAAATCAAAAAACCTGTTAAAACTGCTGGGATCCCAAAAAAATTGAACCTCCCTTGGAACCCAGTCATACAAATACCCATACGACTATAACGATAAGTAAATAACATATTTTTTGCAAATTCAAAAAACCCCACCAAAATCAAAAACAAGAAAAAAAAACGAAAGTGAAAAAACAAACAATTTGACTCGATTTGTGAGTCTTGGTCACGCAATTTTGGGTCACTTTAGCTGAAAAACAACAGTCAAGTCAACCGTTGACCACATGCGCCTTAGATTTAAGTATTTGTAAGAAGTTAAATTTTTTTTGGTAAATTCAGGGAACTAGCAGAGGAAAACCTAAACAAATTTGGCCCAATTTTTTTTGAACCATGGTCAATGGTCATAAAGTACTTGCGCACCCCTCCGTTTGTAAAACGCACTTACACTGGTATCTTGACCCATCCTTCCACGTCAACTGCATCATCAGTGACCGGCACCTCTTTCTCCTCCTGCAAATGAGTGATGGTCTCCGAGTAATGCTTGACGTAATCGCGCGGAACGCCGCACGTCTTCGGCAGCTTCGGCGCGCAAAACGGATGAACCGCCAGATGGCACTCGCCGCACATTTTCAGGTTGCGCCCGAGTGGCACGGTGTTGCCGCACTGGGCGCATTTGGTCGCTTTCGTGCACAGTCTCGACTCGAACCTGTAGCGTTGCGTGTGGATCAGTGACGCCGAACGACAGCGGTCGATTACTCACCTGTGGGGAATGTTGTGGTACATTCTCGGGCACGAGTTCTGTCGGCTCAACTCGCCGGTCGGCGGCCGAGTCAGCTTTTCCATTGTGGTCTTGGTCCGTGGCGAAAGTGTGCCGTTCTGCTTCTGATTTAGTCGCGATATCTCCTCTCGCAACGTTTTGGAGGTGTCTCGCTCTTGCAGGAGCATATTCTCGAGGTCCTTGTAGTTTAGAGGGATGGGAGGGGGTTGGTTCTCCTTCTTCGAATTACCAAACAGTTTGTCCGAGAGCGTCTTCTTGCGTTTGTTGTCTTCGATCTATTGACAAACGAGTATAAGCTGCAGATTAATCCTGCTCATCCAGTTTGGCTGAGTGAGTCTCCCGGAACAAATGGGGTCAGTGAATCAAACTGGGAAACTATGAAAACAGGGCCATTGGATCAAATTTGGGACACTGGGATCAGTTAGACTGATGTGTCTAACGCCCCAAGGCATACAGTTTGACTTGGTGGCTGGATCAAACTGAAATACTGGGAAAAATTGACTTGCAGGAGTAACTGTGACTAGTCGGTGTCCCATACAATGGTCACAATATCCTTAACTCCAGCTGGTATATGCTGCAGGATTACAATGGGCCAGTATTTAACTTACCTTGGTCACTTAGTTTGACTTGGTGAACAGACTGGTTCATTGGATCAAAGTGGGCGATAAAAAAAATGGGTCAGTGAGACAAGCAGTTAAGCACAAAATTGTGTCAATCAATTTGTCTGGGTCATCCAGTTTCACTTGGTGAACTAGTGTGTCCTAGTGAATAGGACAAGTTGAGTCACTTCACCAAACTACCCCATAAACTGGGTGACTGGGTCAAATTGGGCATTTTCATGGAGACTCGATCCCACCTAGTTTTACTTACTGACCCAACATGTCCCAGTGATTGGGACAAATTGAGCTACTGACTTATGACTGATTATTATGTTCTCCTGGTAGTCAGAGACCCTCTGCGTATGTTACCAATTAAAAAAATTCCCAGCAGAAAAAATCTTCTTTAGATCATAGTAAATTAACCATTCCTGTACTCTACATTTTTTTATGTATTAGGAGAGTAGGTGGAATAAGCAATAAGGTGCTTCTGCAGCTAAAATTAACAGCAAAAAAATAGAAAAGCGAATAAGTCGGCCTTATATCATGCTCAATTTGCGATTTCTGTAGTCTACATTTTTTTATTTATTAGGAGAGTAGGTGAAATAAGCGAAAATGTGCTTCTGCAGCTAAAATTAACCGCAAAAAATAGAAAAGCGAAGAAGTCGGCCTTATATCATGCTCAATTTGGGATTCCTAAAGTCTACATTTTTTTATGTATTAGGAGAGTAAGTGAAATAAGCGAAAATGTGCTTCTACAGCTAAAATTAACTGCAAAAAAATAGAAAAGCGAAGAAGTCTTCCTTATATCATTCTCAATTTGCGATTCCTGTACTTCGCATTTTTTATGTATTAGGAGAGTAAATGGAATAAGCAAAAAGGTGCTTCTACAGCTAAAATTAACAATAGAAAAATAGAAAACGAGGAAGTCTTCCTTATATCATGCTCAATTTGCGATTCATGTACTCCGCATTTTTCTTATGTATTAGGAGAGTAGGTGGAATAAGCAAAACGGTGCTTCTGCAGCTAAAATTAACAGCAGAAAAATAGAAAAGTGAAGAAGTATTCCTTATATCATGCTCAATTTGCGATGCATGTAGTCTTCATTTTTTTATGTATTAGGAGAGTAGGTGGAATAAGCGAAAATGTGCTTCTGCAGCTAAAATTAACCGCAAAAAAATAGAAAAGCGAAGAAATCGTCCTTATATCATGCTCAATTTGCGATTCCTAAAGTCTACATTTTTGTATGTATTAGGAGAGTAAGTGAAATAAGCGAAAATGTGCTTCTGCAGCTAAAATTAACCGCAAAAAAATAGAAAAGCGAAGAAGTCTTCCTTATATCATGCTCAATTTGCGATTCCTGGAGTCTACATTTTTTTATGTATTAGGAGAGTAAGTGAAATAAGCGAAAATGTGCTTCTACAGCTAAAATTAACCGCAAAAAAATAGAAAAGCGAAGAAGTCGGCCTTATATCATGCTCAATTTGCGATTCCTGTACTCCGCATTTTTTTATGTATTAGGAGAGTAAGTGAAATAAGCGAAAATGTGCTTCTACAGTTAAAATTAACCGCAAAAAAATAGAAAAGCGAAGAAGTCGGCCTTATATCATGCTTAATTTGCGATTCCTGTAGTCTACATTTCTTTATGTATTAGGAGAGTAGGTGAAATAAGCGAAAATGTGCTTCTACAGCTAAAATTAACCGCAAAAAAATAGAAAAGCGAAGAAGTCTTCCTTATATCATGCTCAATTTGCGATTCCTGTACTCCGCATTTTTTTTATGTATTAGGAGAGTAGGTGGAATAAGCAAAAAAGTGCTTCTGGAGCTAAAATTAACAGCAGAAAAATAGAAAAGCGAGGAAGTCTTCCTTATATCACGCTCAATTTGCGATTCCTGTACTCCGCATTTTTTTATGTATTAGGAGAGTAGGTGAAATAAGCGAAAATGTGCTTCTACAGCTAAAATTAACCGCAAAAAAATAGAAAAGCGAAGAAATCTTCCTTATATCATGCTCAATTTGCGATTCCTGCAGTTTACATTTTTTTATGTATTAGGAGAGTAGGTGAAATAAGCGAAAATGTGCTTCTGCAGCTAAAATTAACCGCAAAAAAATAGAAAAGCGAAGAAGTCTTCCTTATATCATTCTCAATTTGCGATTCCTGTACTTCGCATTTTTTATGTATTAGGAGAGTAAATGGAATAAGCAAAAAGGTGCTTCTACAGCTAAAATTAACAATAGAAAAATAGAAAACGAGGAAGTCTTCCTTATATCATGCTCAATTTGCGATTCATGTACTCCGCATTTTTCTTATGTATTAGGAGAGTAGGTGGAATAAGCAAAACGGTGCTTCTGCAGCTAAAATTAACAGCAGAAAAATAGAAAAGTGAAGAAGTATTCCTTATATCATGCTCAATTTGCGATGCATGTAGTCTTCATTTTTTTATGTATTAGGAGAGTAGGTGGAATAAGCGAAAATGTGCTTCTGCAGCTAAAATTAACCGCAAAAAAATAGAAAAGCGAAGAAGTCGGCCTTATATCATGCTCAATTTGCGATTCCTAAAGTCTACATTTTTTTATGTATTAGGAGAGTAAGTGAAATAAGCGAAAATGTGCTTCTACAGCTAAAATTAACCGCAAAAAAATAGAAAAGCGAAGAAGTCGGCCTTATATCATGCTCAATTTGCGATTCCTGTACTCCGCATTTTTTTATGTATTAGGAGAGTAAGTGAAATAAGCGAAAATGTGCTTCTACAGTTAAAATTAACCGCAAAAAAATAGAAAAGCGAAGAAGTCGGCCTTATATCATGCTCAATTTGCGATTCCTGTAGTCTACATTTCTTTATGTATTAGGAGAGTAGGTGAAATAAGCGAAAATGTGCTTCTACAGCTAAAATTAACCGCAAAAAAATAGAAAAGCGAAGAAGTCTTCCTTATATCATGCTCAATTTGCGATTCCTGTACTCCGCATTTTTTTTATGTATTAGGAGAGTAGGTGGAATAAGCAAAAAAGTGCTTCTGGAGCTAAAATTAACAGCAGAAAAATAGAAAAGCGAGGAAGTCTTCCTTATATCACGCTCAATTTGCGATTCCTGTACTCCGCATTTTTTTATGTATTAGGAGAGTAGGTAAAATAAGCGAAAATCAGGTTTTGCAGCTAAAATTAACAGCAAAAAAAGAAAAGCATAGAGACTTTCCTTACATCATGCTAAATTTGCACTTCTTGTAGTCCTAATTGTTTTACGTATTAGGAGAGCAGGTGGAATAAGAAGAAAAAAAAATACAAAAGAAGTCATCATGCTAAATTTGCGCAATGTAAACTTTCTTATTTATACCTACATATTTCCACAGATATTTCTAGTAAATACATGCATATCGCATATTATAAAAATCAGATGTGCGCATGCGCAATGTCAACCTCCGCATTTATGGAGACATTCCTTTGGAATTTTAATCATACATGCTTCTAGTAAAGAAAAACATAGCGCGCATAGCTATGGCCTTTTGGGAAATACTGATATTGTAAGTACCTAGACTTAGCGATTGGGATAAATTGCGTGAAACCAGAAAAAAATTAGGCACCGAGTAAAACTTGGGGGGGGGGGGCAAATCGGGTACAAACCTTACACTGCAGAAAATCGATAAGTTTTATTTGTTGCTGAATCGTACTGTCGGCTTTCAACTCGCGCTCCTTTTGGTAATTAATCTTTTGCTGCAGCAGAGCTTCCAACTCGCCGATGGCGTCCGAAAGGTCCGCGTTGGCTTTCTGCAACAGATGGCGTTACCATCGCTTCGTAACGTGACGAAAATTACCTTCGCGTCGGCGAGCTCCAATCCGAGCTTAAAATTCGAATCCTTGACACAGTTCAGATTCGTCAGCAACTCCGAGTTCTCCTCCTGTAACAAGTTACCTTCGGCGATCAAGTTCGTTATTTGTCGCTCGTACGACTTGACGGTGACTTCGTAGTCGGCGATCTTCTCCTCCATCGACGAGACCTCGTCGGTGAGCGTGCTCGAGTACTGCCTGAAGTCGACGCACTGCTGCTTGTACGAGGACGACTCCTTCTGCAGACACTCGATGTCCTCCATCAGCCTTCGGCAGTGCGTTTCGGCAATTAACTTCAGCGAGCGCTCCTCGTTCACCATACGTTTCGTCTCCTGGACCTGCTCCTTGCTCGCTGCGAGCTCCTTGATGAGCTTGTCGGTGTTCGCGGTGTACGACTTACGCTGACTCTCGAAGGAGACGTGCAGGTTTTCGTATTCGACCAGTTGGTTCTCTAGCAAGGTGCAAGCTTCGCGGAGGGCTTGCAGGTTCTAAGAGGAATTTTTTAAAAAACAAGCAATTTATAAGGGATTTTTCTGTTTATTTTTCAAAATTTTGGTATTTTGTGATTTTTCTGAATTTTCTGAACTCGCGTAATCTGACTTAAAGCGAATTATCAGAATTTTTATGAATTGTCATATTCAAATATTTGAAAAAAATTCACAAATCCAGAAAATGCGCAAGTTTAAACAATTCAAAAATTAAAAAAAAAAATTTGTATACAAGGTGTAGTGTTGAATTTTTAATGTTTTTTCAGCATTCATTTTTTTGAATGTTTTGCTTTGGAAAAAATTGAAAAAAGTTCTAAAAATTAAAGAAAATGATTGCGCGAGATTTTTTAATTTTTCTGAATATCCGCTGATTTTTCGGAATGATTTAAAAAAAACATTTTATAGGTAATTTATTTCATTTATTTTGAGTTTAATTTTCATATGTTATGATTTTTTTTAATTCTACTCAATTTTACTTTTCTGTGAATTCTTGTGCTCTTTTTAATTTTTATCGGTTTTCGAAAACTTTTTGAATGTTCCTAATTCGTCATAATTTTGACTTCTCTGTAGAGAAAATTCCAGGAAATGCCAAAAAAAAATTTATGAATTTTTTTTTTAATATTTTTGAATTTTAATGTTTTTTTAATCTTCAATTTTTTCTCGAACGATCCTTCTGAATTTTGACAACTTTGTAAATTTCAAAGTACACTTGATTAAAATAATTTTATATTTTATTTTAAACCCTGAATGTTTAGGAATTTTCAATTGCAAAATTTTTGAAAATGAAGAAAACCAAGCGAGTGTGTACAAAAACTAAAATAACAGAAAAATAAAAAAAATTTAGAGCATTGAGAATAGCTCAAGCTTTATTTATATATTATAAATACATATTAGCATTTTTTATTGTTTAATTTTCCATTTTTTTAGTTTTTAAATTTCCGTATTAAAAACTCAACAATATTACAATTTTTGACTTTTTAATCTGTATGAATTTTTGTAAGTTATTTAAATGCTTTGCATTTTAACTTTGATTTTTATGTAATTGAATTTATAATTATATAATTTAATAACATTTTAATCTTTCTGCGCATTTGAAAAACTTCTAAAATTCAGAAAGTGTGTATGCAACATCCAGAGAAATCTGAATTTGAATCACGAAAAATTAAAATTTTACTAAATTGGAAATTTCAAAAAAATTAAAAAACGATTTTTTAATTGTTTCCCGAATGCTAAAATTTTTTCGAATTGCACATAAAATAGGCTTAAAAAATCCGACAAAATTATTAAAAGATCCATAGAAATTTCCAAATTTTTTTAAGTTTTATTTTTCTCTGGATTTTCATTTTTGTAGACATTTGCTGGATTTTTTTCATTCCAGTAAGTATAGAAAAAAAGAAAAAAATATATTCAGAAAAATTGAGAAAACTGAATAGAAATTTAACGAAAAAATTAAACGTCTCACACAAACCACCAAAATGGAAAATTCCTAAGAATTTACGAAATTCAAAAACATTCCAGCGAGTGTGTAAACTGAAAAATTCACTAAAAAGAACGCGTGCGAAAAATCTAATATTGAAAATTCAAAAAAATCGGACGCTAAGCTTAGCAAGATTCAAGATTAATAAAAAATAAAAAAGTAAAAATTCAAAAAAATCGTAATGGTTTTTTAGACTGTTTTATCATTAATAATTTTTGGAAATGTATACAAAAATTCAGAGAATTTATATCAGAACATTAAAAGAATTTAAAAAATACACGCTTAACTCAATAATCCGAAATATGTTTTTTTAGTGTTTTTTTGTATTTTTCCCTTTTTAATATTCTCCCAATAAAATAGCAATTTTCTCGTTGGTGGCTGTAGACGGAGAGGAGTGAATCTACGGGCGTTACCTAGCTATGCCGAGCGAGCCGAAGCGAGTGACCAAGTTCGTGAGTGGTACACAAACAAAAAAGTGTTAAATAAAAAACTCGTGCGAAAATTCTATTGACAATTCAAAAAATTCTGTCACTTCGGGATTAATAAAAATTAGAGAAATTAAAACATACACATTTCAGAAAATATTTGTAAATATTGTAAAGTTCACACGATTCAATTTTTTTAATTATCGGAATTTTTTAAATTTTTTTAATTTGTTCAATTTTAAGATGAAAATTGTACATTTTAAAAAAATTAAAAAAAATAAAATGCTAAATTTATAATTCACATATACTTTTTGAATTGCACCAAAATTAAAATATTAAAGTTAATAAAAATAAAAATGTAAATATTGAAAAAAATTTCAAAAAATTAAATTTTGAAAGTTCAGGACTATATAACAGAAGACCTTTGAATTGTCTTCCGAATGTTAATATTTTTCCAACAATTTTATGTTTCAGAATTTTCGGAAATTAAAAAATTTAAACAATGCGCACTTGTTCAAGAAAATAGATCAATAATTTACAAAAAATAGAAAATAGTCAAAAAATTCTACACAAAGGTATTAAAAAAAGCAAAATTCTTAAAGATTTTAAAAAATTCCGATTTTGTTTATTTTCCGAATTTCCAGATGTTTTACATTGTATAATAAGTATGTACTTTTTTTTTAATATTTCAGAATTTCTAAAAATTATTGATCTGTATAAATTTTTTGATCTTTATGAATTTACCAAAAAATTCAGAAACATGAACAATTTCGAGAATTTTCAAAATTTGGAAAATTACATTTTTGTTCTTAAATTTCAACTTGCATCGTTTTACAAGTTTACATAAAAATCAAACTTTGGAAAATTCAGAATAATTTAGAAAACTAAAAATTAAAAATTCATAGAAAATATGAGCATTCAGAAAATTGCGAAAAATTAGAAGAATTTCAAAAATTAATTTTAAAATAGGAAAATCAAAAAATTTTGAAAAATTGAAAATCAGAAATGAAGCAGAAAATTAAGTTTTTTTTAATTTTTCCAATTTTTGAAGAAAGAAATAATGTAAATAGGGCCGAAGTCAGATGTAAATCAAGTGAGGGGGGTATAGTGAAAGATTTTTGCAAAAATTTTTTTGAATTTTTAAGTGACAAAAATTTAAATTTAGAGATAGCGAATGAAAAAATCTTCAAAATTTATGCAAAATTTAAGAAATTCTGAAAATTCAAAATTGGAAAAATTCCACAAAAATTGCAGCTACTGTACAGGGTTGCCAAATTTGGTCATTAGTACAAGATAAAGTATACGTGGCAAAAATTGACCTCCCAGTCTCGATGTATTTTTTTTACAAACTCGATGTTGACAACCAAAAAAAAATTACAAAAGTTTCATTGTAACGATTATTGCATAATTTGCCGTTTTCAAAATAAATTATGGAGTTGAGTAATAAATGTTCGGGTCTCATTTTTTTAATGAAACGCCCTGTATATTTTAATCTAAAAAATAGGACTATTCAAAAATATAGATACTTTTTAAACAAATTCAAAAATGTGAATTTTTTTTGTATTTTTGGACAGTTTTTTTTAATCACTTGAATCTTTTTAATGTCATCTTTGGTGCATTATATTTTTTGGAATTTCGTTTTAATGGTTCGTTCCTAATTGTCTGGATTTGTTCAATTTCAGCAATTACAAAAAAATAAAAATTCAAAAAATTAAGCAAATTACAAATATGTATTCTCAATAATTCTGAAACATTAAAAAAACGTAATGTTGAAAATTCATAAATAAAAAAAGTTAATTTAGGAGAATTCACAAAAAATGAAAAAAATCAAAATACAGCTTTCGAAAAGTAAACATTGAAAATTTCAGAAAATGTTAGTAAATGTATACAAAAAAAAATCAGAGGAATTCAGAATATTTTCAGATATTAAAAGAAAGGTCCTGCAAATTTCAGATTAAAATTTTTTTGAATTTTTAATTTTAAGATTAAAAATTGATCTAAATTTCAGCAGTTCAAAACTGGAAAATTAAAAAAAAAATAAGATGCTAATATAATTTATAAAGTTTGGAAATGCCTAAAACGTTTTAGAAAATATGCTCAAAAGTGTCAAAAATTCAGTTTGAGAAACAACCCCCCTTTTTGTTAACTTTAACGATTTTTTTTATTTCTTAGAGCTTTGAAAAAAATCAAGAAATATGTATTTTCAATTTTACCAATTTTTTGAAATATCTGAATTTTTAATTTTTTAAGATTTTCTTCAATTTCTGAAATTCAGGAAAATTCGGGGAAAAATATTTAAAAAACGCAAAAATTTAGAAATATTAAAAAAAGCTTTCATCCTTTCAGTCTAATAATAATAATAAATTATGCATAAGATTTAAAAAAATCTAAAAATTCAAAAAAAAAATTTTGCGGTTGTGGTACTTACGATTTGCGTATTCTGCAGCTCGCGTCTGCATCCATCGACCTCGCCTTGAAGTGTAGACTTCGCCTTATCACTGGTCGCGAGAAGCCGTTCGAGGTTACACTTCTCCTGTCGGAGTGCCTCAACGATTCGACACGACTCGTCCTTCTCCCGCTTCCACATCTCAATCTCGTGCGCTTTGGAGACGAGCAGCGCCTCCTTACCTTTAATCTCGCTCTTCAACGCATCGATCACGTTCTGATCACTGTTCGACTTCTCCTTCTCGTCCTTAAACCTCTCCTCCATGTATCTCACCACCTCCTTCAGCTTGACAATCTCGTTGGCGAGATCTTCGTTCATCGCGCCCACCTCTGTCAACGCGCTCTCGTACACGCCGATCTTCTCGGCCATGGCGCCTTTGAGGCTTTCGATCTCGGTCCCGAGCTCCCTGTTTTTCTCCTCGGTCTCTTTGAGCTCGCGCTTAAAGATCCGCTTGTCGATCTCGGCGTTGCCCAGGTCCTTCTCGACGCGCCAGAATTTCGTCTTGAGCTGGCCGAGCTCCTGCCTGTCGAGCGCCAAGGTCTCGTGCACCTCGATCAGCTGCGCCTCGAGCCGCGCGACCTGCTCCTTGAGCACGCTCTCCTTGTCCGAGTCGCTCTCGAGCTTGGAGACGCCCGACTCCAAACGCTGTAGGAGATCTTCTAGTGTTTGGACCTTGAGCTTGGTGTTAAGCTCGACTGATTTCGCCTCCTGCAGTTTCACCTCGAGCTGGTTCGCCTCCTCAAGAGTGCGCGACAACTGATCCTGCACCTCCTTGAGGTGCTGATTGTAGTTCAGCTTCTGTTGCTCGACCAAGGAGTTGCGGGACGCGATTGACGTATTTAATTCCTCTTTCAGTTCCTATTTCGAAAATAAACATTAAAAATAATATGACAGATGTCACAATCAAAACGCACACGCCAAACGATTACACTCAACTATTTAAACCATTATCAACTTTCCCAAACTTTCCCAAATATTTCGTACCTTAATTTGCTTTTGTAAGTTTGCGTTCGCCTCTTTCTCCACCTTGAACTTTTGCTCCCACTCGGCGACGACTTTCTCGTTGCGCAACTTGACCATTTCGTCCTCCAAGGCGCGCGTCTTGGCCTTCTGCTCGTCGATGGTCTTCGCGGTCTCGCCCAAAATTTCGATTTTGTACTCCAACTCCCTGATCGTCTTCTGATTGCTCTCCAACTTGATCAGCAGATGACCGCAGTTCTCCTCGCTCGCCTTCAACTTTTCGCTCAGGCTACGCTCGCTCGCCCTGCACGCCGAAAGCTCGGTTTGCAGGAGGTTCTTCTGGTGCGTTTCGTCGCGGAGTTTGCTCTCGATCGCCGACATTTGGTTTTGGGTTTCGAGCGTGATTTTTTCGAGGCGCGTCTCGAGGCCGATGATGCTTTTCCGGTTGAGATGCTCGACGGTTTCGATCGAGTCCTTGTGCTTGTGTTGCATTTGCAGGGCGTGCTGCAGCTGCTCGTTGAGTAGGGCGTTGGTGGAAGCCAATTGCTGAATTTTCTCTTTTTGCTGCGCGACCTCCAGCTTGAGGCCGTCCACTTTCGTTTTTTCGGAGTTTTCCCACTTTTGTTTCGCGGATTTGATCAGTTCGAGCGCCTTATGTTCCAAGTTCAAACGGTCCTTTCGCTCGAGCTCCAACGTGCGTTTCAGGGCCTACAACGAACAAAATTCCATTCTAAAGAGGTAGTGAATTTTCAAAAAAACGCAATTTTTGAAAATCACGAGAGGTAAAGAAGGCTTGAAGGACACATGCCTGAAACGCGAGGAAGAGCTTATGTATGAGTAAATAGGGCCGAAGTCTTATGTAAATCAGATGAGGGGGGTATAGCGAAAGATTTTTTTGAATTTTTTAGTGGCACAAAAATTAAAATTTAGATAGTGAACGAATCTTCAAAATTAATGCAAAAATTTAAGAAAATTCAAAAATGGGAAATTCCAGCTACTGTACAGGGTTGCCAAATTTGGTTATTACTATGGGATCAAGTATACGTGACAAAAATATTGACCTCGCAGTCTCGATGTATTTTTTTGAGATAAACTCGATGTTGAAAACAAACAAAAATTACAAAAGTTTATTGTAAAGATTATTGCATAATTTACCGTTTTCAAAATAAATATATGGAGTTGGGTAAAAAAATGTTCGGGCCTAATCTCATTTTTTTAAATGAGACACCCTGTATATTTCAATCTAAAAAAATAGGACTCTTTGTTCAAAAATAGAAAGATTCAAAAAAGATTTTAAACAAATTCAAAAATGTGGATTTAATAAAACACCCCGTATATTTTAATCTAAAAAAATAGGAGTGTCTTTTCAAAAATATAGATTCAAAAAAAAATTTTAAACAAATTGAAAAATTAAAAAATGTTGTATTTTTGGACAGTTTTCTTAATCACTTGAATCTTTTTAATGCCATCTTTGGTGTATTATATTTTTGAAAAAACATATGCCATCTTTTTAAATAAAAATATACAGGGTGTGCATTTTCAAAATTGAGATTAGTTCCGGTATGTTCTTAGTAAAAAGTAACAAAAAAGATGTTTATTGCAATAATTTTTTGATGATTGTTTTAATACCATACCATTTCATCTAATATTTTTTAATGGAACATCCTGTATATTTTAATCCAAAAGGATAAAATATTAAAGTCTCTTTTTAAAAATATAAAACCAGCTACTGTACAGGCTTGCCAAATTTGGGCATTAGTACGGGATAAATTATACGTGACAAAAACTGGCCTCGCAGCCTCGATGTATTTTTTTGAGATAAACTCGATGTTGAAAACAAAAAAAATTGCAAAAGTTTCATTGTAACGATTATTGCATAATTTACCGTTTTCAAAATAAATATATGGAGTTGGGTAAAAAATGTTCGGGCCTTATCTCATTTTTTTATGAAACACCCTGTATATTTTAATCTAAAAAATAGGACTTCAAAAATATATATTCAAAAAAGATTTTAAACAAATTCAAAAATGTGAATTTTTTTGTATTTTTGGACAGTTGTTTTAGTCTCTTGAATCGGTTTAATATCATCTTTGGTGTATTATATTTTTGAAAAAACATGCCATATTTTAGATATTTACAAAACTGAGGTTAGGTTCGATATGTTCTTAGTTAAAAGAGATACAAAAAAATGTTTAATACAATAGTTTTTTGATGATTGTTTAATAACCTACCATTTTATCCAATATTTTTGAATGGAACATCCTGTATATTTTAATCCAAAAGGATAAAATATTAGTCTCTATTTAAAAATATTATACTAAAAAAGTTTTATTTAATATTGATTCTAAACTATTCCAAAAAGACTTTAAAAAACTTAAAAAATTTAGTATTTTTTAAAATTAACTTTTTTAATTTTTTTAAATATTTTCGAATAATTTTTTAAAATCTCAAGCCTTTTTTTAGTATCATCCCTGGGGCCTATTATGCTTTTTGGAAAGAGAGTTCAATATGCTATATTTTTAGATTAAAATATACAAAGTGTGCCATTTACAAAAATGAGGTTAGGCCCGATATTTTCTTAGTCCCAAGAGATACAAAAAAATGTATATTACAAAAGTGTTTTGCTAATTGTTAAATAACCTACCGCTTTACCAAACTTTTTTAATGGAAAATCCTGTATATTATAATATTGATTCAAAACTATTCCAAAATAACAATATTTTTTGAGACTTTTTTAATCTTTTCAAATCGTTTTTTTAAATCACTTGATTCTTTTTTTTAGTATCATCCCTGGTGTATTATATTTTTGGAAAGAGAATTGAATATATCTTTTTAGATTAAAATATACACAGTGTGCCATTTACAAAAATGAGGTTAGGTCCGATATTTTCTTCGTCCAAAGATATACAAAAAATGTATATTATGAAAGTGTTTTGCTAGTTAAATAACCTACCGCTTTACCTAATTTTTTTAATGGAACATCTTGTACATTTTAATCCAAAATGATAGAATATTAATGTCTCTTTTCAAAAATAATACACTAATAAGAATTTCATTCACTATTGATTAAAAGCTATTCCAAAAAAATGTTTAAAAAATTAAAAACCAAAATTTTTTTGAAATGAACTTTTTTTAAATCTTTTGGAATCATTTTTTAAATCACCTGATTCTTTTTTTTAATCATCCCTGGTCCCTATTTCTGAAAAAAGAATTCAATAGATTAAAATACATTTACAGAGTGTGCCATTTACAAAAATGAGGTTAGGCCCGGTATTTTCTTAGTTAAAAGATACAAAAAATGTTATTACAAAAGTTTTATGATGATTGTTAAATAATATGCCGTTTTACCTAAATTTGGTAATGGAACATCCAGTATATTTTAATCTAAAAAAATAGGACTCTTTTCAAAAATATAAAGATTCAAAAAAGATGTTAAACAAATTCAAAAAACTGAATTTTTTTTAATGACATATTTTTGAAATATCATGCCATCTTTTTAGATAAAAATATACAGGGTGTGCCATTTACAAAAATGAGGCTAGGTCCGATAGGTTCTTAGAGAGATACAAAAAAATGTTCATTACAATAGTTTTTTTATGATTGTTTAACAACCTACCATTTTATCTAATACTTTTTAATAGAACATCCTGTATATTTTAATCCAAAAGGATAAAATGTTAGTCTCCATTTAAAAAAAACACTAAACAAGTTTTATTTAATATTGATTCAAAACTATTCCAAAAAGACTTTAAAAAAATTAAAAAATTTAGTCTTTTTTGAATTTTTTAAATATTTTTTCAAATGAGGTTAGGTTCGATATTTTCTTTGTCCAAAGAGATACAAACAAATTTCTATTATGAAAGTGTTTTGCTAATTGTTAAATAACCTACCGCTTTACCTAATTTTGTTAAATGAAACATCTTGTACATTTTAATCCAAAATGATAGAATATTAATGTCTCTTTTCAAAAATAATACACTAATAAGTTTCATTCAATATTGATTAAAAGCTATTCCAAAAAGATTTTTAAAAAATTAAAAAGCAACATTTTATTTATTAAAATGAACTTTTTTTAATCTTTTGGAAACATTTTTTAAATCACTTGATTCTTTTTTTGAATATCATCCCTGGTGTAGTATATTTTTGAAAAGAGAATTCAATAGATGAAAATACACTTACAGAGTGTGCCATTTACAAAATGAGGTATTTCTTAGTTAAAAAATACAAAAAATGTGTATTACAATAGTTTTTTGAGGATTGTTAAATAACTTGCCGTTTTACCTAAATTTTGCAATGTATATTTTCCTGTATATTTTAATCCAAAAAATAGGATATTAAAGTCCCTAACACTAAACAATAATTTATTCAATATCGATTACTATTACAAAAAGGGTTTTAAAAAATTTAATTCAACATTTTTTGAAATTTTTTTAATCACCTTTTTAGGGTAATTTTTCGAAAGAAAAAAGCTTCCCCTTATGTGATGGTTTTGTCCGTCTGTCTGTTCCTCGTCTAACTCGAGAACGAAAAGAGACAACGTTGCATTTTTCGATTTTGAGATAAAAGCTTATAACTTCTTTGTTTAATAAGTTATCCTACCTAACCTAATTTTGTTTAATGGAACTCCCTGTATATTTGAATCTAAAAAATTACATTAAATTTTCTTTCCAAAAACATAACATTAAAAAATTTAATATTGATTCAAAAAGACTTTAACCAAATTAAAACAATTCAAAATTTTTTTTGAATCACTTGAATCTTTTTTTTTAAATCATCCCCAGTATGCTATATTTTTGAAAAGAGAATGTAATATGTTATCTTTTACATATACAGGGTGTTCCACTAAAAATTAGGTTACATCCGATAACTGTTTTACCTGACGCAGTATATGGCAAATTATTCAACGATCCCTATAAGCAAAAAACTTTTGTATAACACATTTTTTTGTATCTTTTAATTATATGATCAATCTGAAATGGACAATTTTTTATTTTCCCCCGTAATGTCTCAAACGAATATTTTCGAGATTTCACAACATTACTGTTGACCCAGAAAGAACACCCTGTACACTCGCTTTTTTAATTTTTAACGTTAATATGCTACTTAAAATTTAGACCCCAAGTTTTGAGTTGCTGAAGGTTTTTGTGTATACAAAAATTAAAATTTAGAGAATAGAGAATACAACTTTTAAAAAATCTACAAAAACAAAGAAAGTACTTAAACTAAATGCAAAAATGTATGAAATTCTGAACATTCAAAAATTAAAAAAAAAGCGATACACAATTGAAAAAACTATAAGTCACAAAAATTACAGCAACCATACAGGGTGAGGTGAAAAAGTTGTCGGCCCTGATCTTATTTTTTTTAATGGAACACCCTGTACATTTAAACAAAAAAATAACATTAAAAAAGTTTAGTATTGATTCAGAAAGATTCAAAAAAGATTTTTAACTAATAAAAAATTCAAAAATGTAAATTTTTTTTAATTTTTAAAATACTTTTTAATCTTTATGAATTTTTTTAACCTGTTTCACTTCAATCTTTTTTTAATATATTAATAAATATATACAGGGTGTCCTATTTGTATTTGTAACTTTTACCTCTAAAACATGACAAACATGCAAAGAAACATTTTATATTTTAATTTTCGCTGAATTCCATAAAATTCAAAAATTAAAAAAAAAGTTATTAAATAATATTCTATAGTGAAATGCTTTCTTTAAATTCAAAACAAATTCCAACAAACGTACATCAATCAGAAAGATTTAGGAGGTTTAGGAGAAATCAGAAAACACAAAAAAACCCTTAAAAATTCTAAAATCGAGAATTCATGAAAATTTGAAAATTCAAAAAACATTTCAACTAAGGCATACAAAAATAAAATATCGTAATTCAGGAAAATTGAATAAAACTAGGAAAATTCTGAAAAATTAAAAAATTTAAAAATTTCAAAAATTAATTTTAAATTTAAAAAATCAGAAAATTAAAAAAAATTATTTTCCAAATGTGAAATAAGTACTTACCTCTAGTCTCGTGCGAGCTCAAAAAAATATTACGTCAGGGAAACTTCCGGTTTTATTTTTAATTTATTTGTTTAACAGAAATTGGCGACGAGTTTGTAAGGTTTAAAAACAAAACGGCACCGGTCACACTTACCCCACATTCCGCAATCGAATTCGCCAGATCGCGCTCCAATTTATTCCGCAAGCTCTCCAAGCTTTCCAACTTATGACCCCGCTCGGCGACCTTCCTCTCCAAACTTTGCAACTCGCCCGCGGCCTCCTTACTTTTCATCAGCTGCCTCTGCAGTGCCTTGAGTTCGTTCTGCAATTCCTCCTCGATTTTCGTGACCGACCTCTCGCTCTTCGAGTCGTACGCGTACTTGAGGTCGCAAACGTCGCGCGTGAACGTGAAACCGACGAACGGCAAGTTCTTGCCGGAGAATTGCGTCTTAGTCTTAAAATTATCGATGTTCGGTTCGTTTTTCTTACGGGGAACATCGCAAAAGTTGCTCGTGTCGTCGTTCGACTCGATCTTCGGCACGTACGGAGGCACTTGGTCTCTGATTCCGTTGAAGTCGATGTTTTTGAATAGGGGATGCTTCAACGCGGTCTCGTAGTTCAGACGTTTCGTCGCGTCGCACAGGAGGCACTTCACGAACGATACGAATGACTGCGACAGGACGATGTCGGGGGGAAACTTTAGACCGTTCGTGTAGTTCATAATTTTCGAGTACGTTTCGGCGGTGTTCGGGTCGGAAAAGGGCGTACTTCCGACTGTCAGATGATAGGCCAGAACTCCTATCGACCAATAGTCGCAGGATATCTGAAACCAAATTTATAACATTGTATCGAATGCTACGGTGGCTAACAGACATTTAGATCGGCCAGATCATAATTTTGCTTTAAGTGTAAGCGAAAAGGTCATATAGCTCGAAAATGTAAAATTGTTCAAAAAAAGGTAGGAAAGGCGGAAGTATGCTTTCGAAATAGCACAAATTTGAATGTATATTTAAATCTGTGGATAGATGCAATGAAATCCAAAATATGGTGCCTAGATAGCGGAGCTACGTCACATATGTGCAACTGATCTGTAAGGCGATCAAATTTACTCGATTTAATCCACACGGATGTTTGTGGACCAATGAGGGTCGAATCACTAGCTCGATCTAGATATTTTTGTTGGTTCTGATCGACGTTTACCAGCCGCCTCAGGCCCTCGTGATTCGAAAACTACACGACCTAGAAAAAGACTTACAATTGGCCGAATGCAACCCAAAAACCTTTCTCATCCGCCCCTCTCCGACGAAGGGGGGCCTTAGTTATAATTACAGTAAGTAAAACAAGTATAAATTGTGCACAACTCTTGCGCAGATAAAACGCATTTTTTACAACCGAAATAGCTAGTAATGTGTTCTTGAGATATACGGAATCACTTATGTTCAATCACAATAAGGAGTCGAGGGAGAGGCTATGGTTGGTAGAAATTAATTCCTTTCGTTAAAACCTTTCATTAGAGTACCATGAAGGATATAACTAGTTCCCCCCCCCCCCCCCCCCTCCACCCAGTACTTTGATAAGAGGACAGAAAGAATTGCAGTAGTTGGTAGAAAACGGTTCCTTTCGTTGAGACCTTTAATTAGAACACGATGAGAAATAAATTAATTTTAACCCCCCCCCCCCCCCCTTCAAGCCCCGTCGCTCACTGATCTCGAAAAAGAGTCGGACGGGAAAGGAAACCAATTCATTTCGATGAGACCTTTCATTAGAATACCATGAAGGGTAGAACATGAACCACGGCCGGCCCGTGTGGCGCAGTTCAGTTGAAGCTGGACTGTGGTGCTACCAAATGGTTGTCGTTTGTAAAAGTTATGCACGTTTTACTTTCAAAAACAGTATCTCAAGAAATAATTCGTGTGAGGGGGGGGGGGGGCTTTTAGACAGCGAAATTTGATAGCCGTCTGGCGCACCTTCAAGGTATAGACTACCTACTGCAAAAAAATTCCAGGACTCTAGGACCATTCCCCTAGAAGTAGTTCGCAACGGTAGAAGTGGGTCCGGACGGACGGACGGACAAAACGCAAACAATAGCACATTTTTTTAATTCTTAAAAAATGAGCTAAAAATCGCAGAATGTAAACCGTTACACTTGTAGAATCGCGACCGCGGCTAGGGGGGTACGAAGGTCGAAGGCTTCGATCGCCTAGGTCGCGGAAGTCGTCACATGAGTCCGCGAAATCGTAAAAACTGGCCCGCGTAAGACATATAGGGTTCCAACCAAAAACTAGGAAGCAGGGGGGGGGGCAAAGTTTGTGTTTATCGACGTCTTTCCGCCTTAAGCCCTCGTGTCTCGGGCAATTCGCAAAATGCGGCCCGCCCAAAACCATGACCCATCCGCCCCGCTCCGACGAAGGGGGGTTTAGTTATAATTACAGTAGGTACGTTAATTGGTTTACACCCACCAACCCCCGCGACTACCATCGGAGGTGAGCGTGCTCGAAAAAAATCGCGGAAGGTAAACCGTTAAACTTGTAGAATCGCGGCCGCGGCTTGGGGGGGGCGGGTAGGAAGGTCGAGAGCTTCGATCGCCCGAGTCGCGGGCCCCCCCGCCCCCCAAAACAAAAAACTAAGGTCGTTTGGAGGGGAGGGGGGGCAGTTTGTTTTTATCAACGTCTCCGCCTTAATCCCTCGTAGCGCGAAAACGACCTAGGAAATGACTACAATTGGCCAAATGCGGCCCAAAACCTCTTCCATCCGCCGCCAGAGGGGGGGGGGAGAGAGATTTTAGAAAGAAAATCGAAGGAAATACAGTTAGAGAGTCATCTCCTGTACAAAATATTTACGGTAACCGAGTCGCATGGGGGATGATAGATTTGAGGAAGTCGCCCACGCCTATCCTCTGGCTCAGCACCCCTCCCCCCCCCCCCACCTCCCTCAAACCACTAAACAAGACTTGTTCGTCATCGAAAACGCCGAGAGCTAGAACGATTCCGTTTTTCACGTTGGTCTCGTATTCTTACCCTCCGACTCCACGACCATCTCCCCCCCCCCCCCCTCTTCGCCAACCAATAAATGACACTCATATTTTAACGTTTATTCGGAAACCACGAAGGCTAGAACGATGAGGCCTTTTACCTTGGTTTCGTACTCTTACCCTCCAACCCCATAGCCCCCCCCCCCCATTACAATTACACTTTTTCATATTTTGGCGTTCATTTGGAAACGCAGAGGCCTAGAACGATGCGACAACCAATTGCTCTCAGATTTTGCATACGCATGCCTTTAGTGGTGCCAAGTTGAACTTTAAAAAATGGGGGGGGGGGGGTAAACACATATTTTACCCTTCATGGTGTTCTAATGAAAGGCCTCATCGAAATAAATTGGTTTGTACAAACTATAACTTTCAAGATCAGTGAGCGACGGGACAGGGGGGGGGGGGGGGGTTAAAAATTACTTATATCTCTCATTGTATTCTAATTAAAGGTCTCATCGAAAGGAACCGTTTTCTACCAACTACTGCCCTTCTTTCTGTCCTCTTATCAATGTACCGGGTGGAACTACTTTTATCCTTCATGGTACTCTAATGAAAGGTCTCAACGAAAGGAATTCATTTCTACTAACCATAGCCCTCCTGCTCGACCTCTTATCGTGATCGGGTATATTCCCTTATACCTCAAGAACGGATTGTCGGAAGAGAGTACTGACAAAAGGCGAGTTAGACGTCTGCAAGAAATATATCCAACAAAAGCTATTTCGGTTAAAAAAAATGCACTTTATCTGCACAAGAGTTGTCGACGGCGATTTGAGTAAATGCGGCCAAACGGTGCCTTTAGTCTTGTGTTTTAATGTGCGAGGCGAAGCCGAGCAATGTGTCAACGGTCCCACACAAGCATGAGGCTAGGTGGCATTTAACTTCGGGTTTTATGCCCCCCTCCCTCCCACCAATTGCCTATAAATGGCAATTTTTTGTAGTGTATTCAGAGACGCCGAAGGCTACAACTAAGCAATTTGTTACATTCATTTCCTATCTAAATCGACCACGTTTTAGAATCGAAGTGCGTATAAATGCATGCGCCAAAAATCGTACTGCGCATGCGCAAAACTCAACTTTCTTATTTACGGGGCAATTTGATCCAAATCCCTGTAAATGAAAGCAAACAAAATGCATGCGCAAAAAACCGTACTGCGCATATTGAGGATGCGCAATAGGCAACTTTCTTATTTATGCAAAAGTTTGGGGCAGTTTTGAGGTCCTTAGGTGACCTTTTTGGAGCCTTAAACATTAATATTCGCTAAAAATCGCATTAATTTTTAAATGAACGCAAGTTGAAGGTGGTTTGACGCAAATAATCAATCGTAAAATATCAAAAAATTACAAATACTGCGAGCTCAGCCCTCCCATGAGCAGAGATCTCAAACGAGCAGACAGACAGATGATGGAAAATTGAGCACATAAACGTTACCGCAACTTCGTTGTGTTAAGCTAATCATCAATAGAAAATAAATTTCCGTCCTTGTGCGCCACGATGGCGCCCTTACCTTCCTTAACAGTTTTAGCCTCAGTTTTAGCTGTCTGGAACCTTGAATATGAAGAAATTTATGCTCAAGGAAACTGTTGATATTTTGATTATAAATAAATACAGGGAGTTCAAAAATAACATTAAGCATTGAAATTAAATAATTGTTTTTTGAAATAGGCCCCCCCCCCCTTGCTTGTAACTTTTATGAAGTACAAAAAATAAGGGTAACTTTGTATGAAGTAGCATTCGTGGTGCTACACCCTGTATTTCAGCATTTCAATATAAAATTTAATATTTTGGAAATGGTTAACCCTGATTTTCATGTAAAGTAATCACCCTATGTACAAATACAACCCCTAAAATAATAAGACAATAATAATAATGAGAATAATAATCATTTTTGGATTATGCCCACAACACTAAAAGAAGTTACCGAGTATTTACCTGATAGCCCATTTTTTTCGCATTGGAATCCATGCACTGTAAAACCTCGGGCGCAATGTAATCCGGTGTCCCTACGGGAACACCTTCGTTAACAAATCCACGGGAATCGAGCCGAGCAGAAGAACCGAAATCGGCCAGCTTGATATGCCCGCAACGATCCAGCAGGATGTTTTCCGGTTTAATGTCCCGATGCACGTAGCCCATCGTGTGTAAATCGTGCACGGCGAGCACCTAAAAAGCGGCTGTAGGTGGTCAGAAAACGACTCGCATGCGACTTACCAATTCGGCCAGATAAAATGAAGCTGCACTTTCCGGAACCGTCCCCCCTTGTCTTTGAAGCAGGCCCGAGAGATCGCCGCCGGGGAAGTACTCCATCACGAAGTAAAGATTGTTAGCGTCCTGAAAGGCGTACTGCAACCTCGTCAGCCACACCGACTTCGCGCACACCATAATATCGCGCTCCTCCTCGTACGAGATGTGCTTCTGCCGCAGGCAGTCCGACTTTCTGATCATCTTCATCGCGTGAACGTCGCCGGTTTGCTTCTCCTTCACGACGAACACCTCGCCGAAGTGTCCGCGCCCGATCACATTCTTCACCTCGAAGTCGGAAACGTTAACGCGTAAACATCTCAGCTCGTTCACGACCCCCCGATGTCTGGTCACGAACTCGCCGATGTGTCGATCGAACTTCTTCAAGCAGTCGTTGTTGCTTTCGTCGTATAAGACCGTTAGGGCGTCCAACAAACCGTCGCGATTGAGCAAGTTGGTTCGGCTGTTCGAGGTTTTCGTCGATAATAAATTCGAGTTTAGTTGAGCTGTTCGCGCACTTATCGGATCCTTTGAGGGTTCCATTGTCTTTAAAATCACTTTTGCTCGTTATAGCTGCAGCATTTCTATGGAGACATATTTGAAAATCAACACAAGAAAAACCGTTACAGACTGATCGAAAAGATAGGTTATATCAACAACACGTTTGAATTTGATTGGTTCATTTTAACCGTTAGAAATCGCCAGGGTCGCACTAAGAAACACGTTGACATTTGCCGTTTATCAACTGGGGGCTCCCAAGTACGTTTACAATGGAGATTTAGATTTTGTTTGGTCGTTCAGTGCTAGAAGTATAAAAAAATGGTTGTGATATTAGGGTAATCTTTAAATGGGCCAAAATTCTGTTTCACCTCCTACGCCCCTCCTCCTGAGTGTCATTTTTACGGGCCCCGAAAGTTCAAAATGACCCAAGGTGTGTCAAAACCACTAAATAAGTTCTTTACGACCTCTAGAAAGCTTTGTAGACGCGTTTCTGAGTATTACTAGGCTAATCTAGGCTCTTTCCAACGGTTTTCAGTACTTTAGACGATTTTTAGGTCCCTGTTAGCTCCCTTACAGAGATTTTTTGATTCTCCGAGATACCCTTTGCAGATTTGAATGCTGAAACTTCCCTCTAGCCACCAAAATGGACGTGTTTGTACAATTTTTGTTTTTATTTATGAAAATTACAAATTACAATAGGCGGTTCGTGCTGAAACGAAAGCCCAGTATAGAGATTTACTTTGAATTACACGGTGATTTTCGAAAGTTTGTTACATGTTACATGTGGTCAAATTTTTCTTGGATGTGGCAAAAGCTCGGTTTCGAAGACTGCCCCGAATCGACTATACATACATATATAGAGTGCTGTGTAATTAATTGCATTTATTTTTACAAGCAATTTTTAAATTAAATACTCGGCTTACCCAAATTACAAGAGACTTTACATTTACTGGGTTGGTAAACACACGTGACAAAACATGCCATCCTTATCGCTGACACTGTTCCACCAGTTTACCAACTTCTGCGGTTGGTGGTGGTTAAGATTGGGAGGTTCCACTCTGTGTATACAACTTACGACGATACATACATTTTTGAGAGTTGGCAACCATGCAATTTCTAGGTGGGAAAAAGCCATATATCTTCTCTTAAGCCGTATTTATAGTTCCGTAGCCGTAAGAACGGAACCGTAAAATCTTACGTTAACGAAAATTATACGATTTATAGTTACCGTAGTGGTAAGAGATGAGCTTGCGCATTAGTGCGAAACGAGATCTGTCATTGTATGTCATCTGTCAGTAAGAGTAACGTGCATGCAAAATAATAATAACCAACAAAGTGTCAATAATTATTGTAAATAAACGAAACGAACGTCAGGATAAACTCAACTGTTTCAATTATCCGAGTACTGCCGACAACAAACGCGTTAGCACGATTTACCGTAAGAAATAAGATTTGGGCATTTCTTACGTACCGTAACCGTTCTAACGCAACGTTAACGCGAACTATAAATGTTCACGCGCAACAAGTAGGGTTTAAAGCTGAATTTATAGTTCCGTACCCGCAACGCCGTACCGTAACGTTTGGAAATAAACCCTACTTGTTGAGCGTGAACATTTATAATTCGCGTTAACGTTGCGTTAGAACGGTTACGGTACGTAGGAAATGCCCAAATCTTATTTCTTACGGTCAATCGTGCTAACGCGCTTGTCTTCGGTAGTACTCGGATAATTCAAACAGTTGAGTTTATCCCTCGGTTTATCCTGACGTTCGTTTCGTTTATTTACAATAATTATTGACATTTTGTTGGTTATTATTATTTTGAAATGCATGTTACTCTTACTGACAGATGACATACAATGTCAGATTTCGCTACGCGCTAATGCGCAAGCTCATCACTTGCCACTACGGAACTATAAATCGTATTATTTTCGTTAACGTACGATTTTACGGTTCCGTTCTTACGTTTTTACGGCTACGGAACTATAAATCCGGCTTAATTCCAAACGTTACGGTACGGTGTTGCGGTTACGGAACTATAACTTCAGCTTTATATATATGGAAAAAGCTGCCTGCGCCCAAGGTTATTTTAAAGTCACTAAATATAGAAAGTACCGCAACTGGCGCAACAAGGTTGTTTTATTAAAATAAAATAACCTTGGTACCGCAATCCATTGGGCTCGTGTGTTAGAGAGAGAACGCAGATTCTGGTAACTTTAATGCAGAGATATAGATGTATCCGATGTATCTCTGCTTTAATGTTAGGGAGGGATTGTTCCACCTGTTTGGAGATATCTGTATACGTTAGAAAAATAGTATTCCACAATGTGCAAAAGACTGCAATCAGAAACAATGAAACGATCGTAAGCATCCACCCCAATTTATTAATGTAAAAACACAAAAAGAACAACTAAAATATATTTGACTACAACAACGCGTGATGTACTACGAAGTTAGTTATTTACCGCCGAAGAAGTTGGCAACAACGAAAAACCATAGAATGCGATTAATTCTTCCAACGGTATATATTTTTATAAAACATGACAGTACTATGAAGTTATAGGTTATACATTTACAGCTATTCAGATTTTATTTGTCAATTTTTTTAAGTTGGCAGTAAATTTGCCCAAAAATGGCGGGTGATTGCGGTACTTTCTATATCTAGTGACTTTAGGTTATTTTATTTGCCTGCGCCATCTAGAAAGCACTAACGTGGGTTACGTTGGGCCTCTTGTCTTGAATGGCGGTCGTGGACGCGTCGCTCCATAAATGTTTGTTGTTATTTTGTGTTTTTTTAATCCAGGTAGTAATCTTTGCATTTCTTTATATTGTGTTTGTGTTTTGTATGCCACATTTTACATTTTTGTGTGTTTGAATCTTTGTTTTTGAAATTTACTTGGTTTAACCGCAATTCATAATCACATATGTGATACCGTTATGCTATTGTTTCTAATTGTTTACGTTTTTGTTGTGATGCTTGCTTAATTTATGTTTATTGATGTTGATTACTTGGCCTTGTCCCTGAAGTAACATTCATATAAGTTTTCACCATTTTATTTTTAATATTGGAAATTACCGATTCGCTTGATGTACTGACTTGTTGTTTGTAACTAGCCTATTTCTATTTTTATTCGGTGAACTACCGTTTTCAAAGTTTGTTTTTGCAATGTAATTTATTTGAACTTAAATTTCCGAGCTTTCACAATCTTAATAAACTTTTCACAATGTGAGTATTTTATTTTACGTTCCTTCCCTACTGTGCTTCAGGTCAAAGCGTTGTATACAACGCAAGGATGGCCATTTTTAAATGTTGCCGGGTTGGCATTTTCTTCCCGCGTTCTTGTAGTATGAAGTTAGCGTAGAACCTGGGGGTTAAAGTACACTACAAGATTGATTGTAAGAGAAGTATACGGGTTTGAATACAAACCACCCTCGCTCCCGTCCCTTTCCACTGTCAGCATTACTGTGACCAGGTCCCTTCAACAAAAAATTCCCATGGTGGTAGTAACTTAACGCTATTCCTAGCTAAGATGCACGATCTAGGATTGCGCCCCACTTCAGCGGATGGGAGATCAGGTTGCCTAGAGTCCTCTGGTTCCTATCTATAAGCTTAACCGATAATGACACATGAGTAAAGGAGAAAGAGTCGACTAGTATAAAATTTGACCTGTATAAATTTTAGACTTGTAGGTACACTGTCGTGGAATTGTACTGTCAAATGGTAGCTGTGGCATAAAGTTCCTGCTGAATAATGAAAGGTAATTAAATTGATTTTAGGCGCAACTTTATTTGTTTATTGTAATTTTGAGAATAAAATTTATGAGGAGTCTTTACAGGTACGAAAAAGAAACGGAAACGTATGCTTTTGGTGATTGGTGTAATGGCAATGGCGTAACTTTGATGCATTCGACAGTGGCGCCGACTGCGAGGGGGCAGTGTGTCATGACGTTAGGAAATAATTTCAACAAATAATGTCTGGGTGTAGTTAGGGTCATTTACTGCATTAGACAAACCCAAGTGTTTGTGACAAGCCGGCGCCACTGAATTTGTTATTATTTGGTTTAAGATTGTTGTTTAATGATGAACAAAACTTAGGGGTGGTGGGTGGGGGTGAAACCAATATTTTTATCAAACTAGGTAGACATCATTAGTATATTATAAAGAAAATGTACAAATTCAACTTGGCATGTTTTCATTCCGTTACCACTGTTAAGTTAAAGTCGAGATTTCAAAATGAGAAGATATATTCCAGTCAAGTGCAAATATTCAACAGTCGTAGCCTTCGATTAATAGAATCCAAGTTGGTTGTGGTACAAAATTAAAAACAAGTTTAGGAAACCTATGCAGGTAGCAACTATTCTAAGCAGGGGTGAAATACACAGGATGTGACTCATCTTTGGTGCAATAAAATTCTTTTGTTAAAAGTAAGATGGAAAATTGCATGGCCTTGGAGGCAAATTCAAATGTTAAGGCAACATATGTGAAAATCAGTGAATCGCAACTCATATATCACACATAGATTCAAAACCGATGAGTTTTTATTAGCATAATCTTGCCCCCAAGATTTGTAGCATGAGCCCTCGTTCGGGAATTCCCAGACTATAGTTGGGAGTCAAGAGCAGTCCCAGCTTAAGGTGTCGTAACTGATTTGGTTACAGTTTTTCCACCCCTATGACCGTCTCTTCACATCAAAACAATTGTATAATTTCCACATGTTTAAAAGATTGATCAAAACTTATATGAATATTACTTCTGGTCAAGATCATATGTAATCAAAACATCAACATAAATAAAGCAAAGATTACACCAAAAACGTAAAGGATTTCAAACAAAAGGATAAGGGCATCAAATGTGCTGCATTAAGTACCGTTAAATCAAGTCAATATCAAAAACAAGAGATTGAAACCCACAAAAATATAAAATGCTGCATACAAAACACAAATACGATGTAAAGAAAGGCAAAGATTACTACCTGCATTAAATAACACTAAAATAACAACAATCACGAGCGATGCTTTCATGACCGCCATTAAAAACAGAATCCCCAACGTAACCAACGCTCTCCAGATGGCGCCAACAGTTTTACTCTCCTTCTCCTAAAAATTAAGTGGTTGCCAACTCTCAAAAATGTGTGCATCGTCGTAAGTTGTATATACAGGGTGGAACCTCTAAAGTTGAATATATCACACACGAACGAAAACAAAAATACAGAAGCCAAAGCAACCATATTCAAATTAATTATAATGTGACAGTCAGATCTTTATTTATTTTTACAAGTTATTTTGGTTGCATAAAATTAGGCGCCCTTCAGAAGTATTTTGTTATTTAACAGTAGACACAGGGAAAAACAATACACGTTTTATATCAATTATGAGATTTATAAAGTGTTATTCAAACAAAATATAATGTAGTATGAATTACAAACAAATAACTGTTTAATTTTTGGAGAAATATATATTTTTTTAAATAATAAAAGACATTAATTTTAAATAACGAACCTATTTCAAGTTTATTTTACAGTTTAATACATTTAAATCTGTTTCAGAGAATTTAACGGTTACGTGGCGTTATTAGGCCCCCAAGGTACGATCATGAAATTGATAAAAATGGATAGAGGGCACCCTAATTAAGGGTTTTCAACAAACAAATTTGCGGGAGAAGTCCTAAATATTCCACAATTTTAATACAAAGTTCACAATAATTTCGTCGAAATGTGAGGTTATATGTTACACCATATTTATGATTACTCTTAAGTTGGTAAGAGTTTGCGTAACATTCCAACTTCAATTTCATAAGAGGTTATGTTATTTTTCTACGATAGTACTGTAGAATTATTTCCCAAATTTGGTTTTTTGTCGCTCCTAAAAATTTGTCGCTATGGGCCCGAGCTGGGTCGAGCGTTCTAAAAAACCGCTCGGGCAACGAGCGTTCTAAAAACCGCTCGGGCAACGAGCGCTCTAAAAGTGCTCGGGCGGTTTATCGCGAGCGCTCGGGAAAAGCGCTCACGAGCGAAAAAAACGCTCGGGAGCGGAAAATCCCGAAGAATCTCAGGAATCTGACAGATTCCAAGAACAGGGAGGTTAACAGGTTTTCTCTATGTTTTCAAACCGTCGTGTTTCTGCAGGTTTTTCAAATCTTCGAATCCAAAATTGTGAATATTTGAAGGGAGTGTGGGGTCTCTAAATTGGAAGCTGATGACTCCGGTAATTTGGGAATGGAAAAGGAGAGCTGAAAGTAGAAGACAGGTGCAAGATATAGACTAAAATTGGGACTGGTGACCAGAAAAAGGGACCTGAAGAATGAGAAATGGCTCTCGTGGCCCTGGATAGTAAATTGGAAACCTGAGGCTGGAGTTCCGAAACTAGAGGAAAAAAACTTGATAGGTATCTGCAATTAGTCGTCCACTTAAACTCATATTACGCGCCATTTTGAAAGAGGCAGATAACCGATAGTGCTCTTCCACTTAACCCAAATATTGAGTGTCCACTTTATCTTTTATCTACTGCAGTAGGTGTGAAAACAAAGAAACCCAACGCTCTAGATCTAAAAAAATTGCCAATCATGCGCCTCATACTCTTCGCGACGATTTACTTCGGCCTCCTTTCAGGTGCCATTGGCAACAACAGTACCAAAATAGTGATCATCGGGGCGGGCGCCGCAGGAATTGCGGCGGCCTCGCGATTGTACCGGCACGGTTTCGCAAACGTCAAAATTCTGGAGGCGGGCGATCGCATCGGCGGTCGAATTCACAGCGTCAAATTCGGCGAGAGCTTCGTCGACCTTGGAGCGCAGTGGTGCCATGGGGAGCAAAACAATTTGGTCTACGAGATGGTCAAAGATCTTCGTCTGTTAACCGACGACGAGCACTCCCCGTCCTTGTACCATTCGCGACTGAAACGAGTCGACTGGGAGTTCTCGACGAAGCTGAACCAGGTATTTCAACAGGCTTTCGTTGGCAACAATTCCGAAGGAAGGAATATGGGCGATTTTCTGAGTGAAAGGTGAGCGCGCACCAGAAGTCTTCCCCTTAACCTCTGCTTTCAGGTTTAGGGCCTTAATTGGGCGGACTTGGACGGGTGACAAAGAACAGATCTTGGCAGGGGAGTGCCTGGATTTGCTTCGGAGGCAAATAGAATCTTATTTTGCAGTGTTCTCCTGGAGGCAACTATCGACGCGCAGTGAGCACAAAATTTCCGCCGGTAACCAGCACCTGGGCTGGAATGGATTGGGTTACAAAACCATTTTAGACGTCCTGATGAAGGATGCTCCAATCCGCGACAGTGTCTTTCTAAATAAACAGGTGCGCAAAATCGCCCTGACACCCCAGAGCGGTGCCTTGGTGGGTTGCGCGGATGGAGCTAGGTATAACGCCGATCACGTGATTTGGACACCGTCGCTCGGAGTCCTGAAGCGCGATTACTTGTCACTTTTCCAGCCGAAGCTCCCCGAGAGGAAGATCAGGTCCATACAGACTTTGGGATTCGATGCCGTTGCGAAAATCTTCATCCACTTCCCACGCAGGTGGTGGAATGACGATTTCCAAGGCGTACAGTTCGTGTGGAACGCGGAGGATTTGCAAAACTCAGGACGGGTGTTCGGCGAAGGGCCCCACCAGGTAACTTTTAAGTAGCGAAGATTTAAAAAAAATTCATGCCCGAAACCGGACTCGAACCACGCACCCTCTGTGCCGTAGCCGCACCACTATGCCATGCCAGCTGGTTCAAAAGCCGGCATGGGGGGAATTAAGTTAAGAAGTTAATTAGAGGCCCTTATAGACCCTCCCAAGGCTTTCAAAGGTTCTTTAACGGATTAAGGAGGCATTTTTTTGGAAAGTAGTTCTCCGATTCGAAAATGTTCCTTCGCGGATATTTTGCCACTCGTAAATAAAAGGCCTTGCTACGAACCAAGCTTCTAAAAAGTGTTTTTCGTCCCGGAATTTACGGCAATTCTTCTATTCGCAGGTAACCCGCAATTTGTCGACGTACTCAAAGTGTAGGAGGCCTCGCTACTTTAAGTAAGTTTTGACCCAAAGTTAAACTGCTAATTCTTTATTACTATTCGGATAGATTGAGACCTACTCTACCAAGGAATTTTACTGACTGCCCTCCCGAGCGCTTTCTTTACAAGTTAAATGTCCATTTCGTTAATTTATTACTTCCTAGAACTATGATGGATCGGGCCAATTTGAATCCTTTGGTTTCTCAAAGTCGTTCGATTCTTCTTTTAACTATTTTCTTATAACGGTTCTTAAGCACTGTATAAGCCTATCAAAAATGCTTGAACATCCCTCTATGGCTCTTTACTAATGTTCCATTTGAATCATTGCTTTTTAGGGTAGCATATCGTGGATCACGAAAATTTACGGCATTCTTCCCGTCCAAAGAAATCCGAACCTCCTCCTGGCGTGGTACTGCGGAGAAATGGTGCCGGAAATCGAGCGCCTCCCCGACCGAATCATCGCCGACGGTTTGATGCACACACTGGAGCGATTTGTGAAGCGGGACTACCCGAACCTTACTCGGCCCGATAAAATACTAAGGTAAGCGGGCCGAAAGTGGAAGGTGAGAGTGATCGTTTGGTTTTCGCAGGAAAAACTGGTACAGTGACCCTCACTTTCGCGGAACTTACTCGTTCGAAACCGTCGAGTCTCGGAAACTGGGCGCGCCCCAGTCCGCCGTGTTGTCCGAACCGATAGTGACGAATGTGGGGAAGCCGGTGCTCTTGTTCGCGGGAGAGGCGACCAGTTCGTTTTACGGCGCCCTGGTAAACGGCGCAATCGAGACGGGATTTAGGGAGGCAGATCGAATAATAAAGTTTTACAAATGAAAAGTGTCCCAATCGTATATCTTGAAACTTAATTGAATTTTCCTTCTTATCGCAGTGACAGGAGATAAACTTTAAAAACAACACAGATTTATTTTCTCACCTTACTTTGGCTTAAATCTTTACAGATCTTAAACCAGAAAAAATAATGAGCAAAGGGGTGCTTATACATACCTACATGAAAGCACACTCCTGTAAAATGTCTCTGACAGCGGACGGTTCAAAAAGAAAGGAAGGTTATACACTGCCTTTTTTTGAGCCCCGAAAAAAAAATTGTCTCTGATCGATCCGGAAAAACAATGTTCTTATAGAATGTGGCCCGTAGAATCCATAATTTCAAACAGTTCCAAGACTGGGCTACTAGTTCAAAAGTTACAGCCCTTTGAATTTTTTTTCGAAATTAGTTTACAGTCTATAACTTTTCATTGAGAAGTCTGATCGAAAAAGTATGAATTGTTTTGGATTCTACGCACCAAAATTAATAAGAAAAAGTGTTTTCCCGAGAAATTTTGGTGCAGTCGATTTTTGGATAAAAAGGAAGGTTTATACACTGCCTTTTTTGAGCCCCGAAAAAAAATTGTCTCAGATCGACCCGGAAAAATTTTTTTCTTATAGAATGTGGCCTGTAGAATCCATAATTTCAAACAGTTCCAAGATTGGGCTACTAGTTCAAAAGTTACAGCCCTTTGAATTTTTTTTCGAAATTGGTTTCTAGTCTATAACTTTTGATTGAGAAGTCTGATCGAAAAAGTACGAATTGTTTTGGATTCTATGCACCAAAATTAATAAGAAAAAGTGTTTTCCCGAGAAATTTTGGTGTAGTCGATTTTTGGTAAAAAAGGAAGGTTATACACTGCCTTTTTTTGAGCCCCGAAAAAAAAATTGTCTCAGATCGACCCGGAAAAAAATTTTCTTATAGAATGTGGCCTGTAGAATCCATAATTTCAAACAGTTCCAAGATTGGGCTACTGGTTCAAAAGTTACAGCCCTTTGAATTTTTTTTCGAAATTGGTTTCTAGTCTATAACCTTTGATTGAGAAGTCTGATCGAAAAAGTACGAATTGTTTTGGATTCTACGCACCAAAATTAATAAGAAAAAGTGTTTTTCCGAGAAATTTTGGTGTAGTCGATTTTTGGTAAAAAAGGAAGGTTGTACACTGCCTTTTTTTGAGGCCCGCAAAAAAAATTGTCTCAGATCGACCCGGAAAAAAAATTTTCTTATAGAATGTGGCCTGTAGAATCCATAATTTCAAACAGTTCCAAGATTGGGGTACTAGTTCAAAAGTTACAGCCCTTTGAATTTTTTTTCGAAATTGGTTTCTAGTCTATAACTTTTGATTGAGAAGTCTGATCGAAAAAATACGAATTGTTTTGGATTCTACGCACCAAAATTAATAAGAAAAAGTGTTTTCCCGAGAAATTTTGGTGTAGTCGATTTTTGGTAAAAAGGAAGGTTATACACTGCCTTTTTTTAGTCCCGCAAAAAAAATTGTCTCAGATCGACCCGGAAAAAAATTTTTCTTATACAATGTGGCCTGTAGAATCCATAATTTCAAACAGTTCCAAGATTGGGCTACTAGTTCAAAAGTTACAGCCCTTTGAATTTTTTTTCGAAATTGGTTTGTAGTCTATAACTTTTGATTGAGAAGTCTGATCGAAAAAGTACGAATTGTTTTGGATTCTACGCACCAAAATTAATAAGAAAATGTGTTTTCCCGAGAAATTTTGGTGCAGTCGATTTTTGGTAAAAAAGGAAGGTTGTACACTGCCTTTTTTTGAGGCCTTCAAAAAAAATTGTCTCAGATCGACCGGAAAAAAATATTTTCTTATAGAATGTGGCCTGTAGAATCCATAATTTCAAACAGTTCCAAGATTGGGCTACTAGTTCAAAAGTTACAGCCGTTTGAATTTTTTTTCGAAATTGGTTTCTAGTCTATAACTTTGGATTGAGAAGTCTAATCGAAAAAGTACGAATTGTTTTGGATTCTACGCACCAAAATTGATAAGAATAAGTGTTTTCCCGAGAAATTTTGGTGCAGTCGATTTTTGGTAAAAAAGGAAGGTAATAACAGCCTTTTTTTGGGCCCCGAAAAAAATATTGTCCCAGATCGATCCGGAAAAAAATTTTTCTTATAGAATGTGGCCTGTAGAATCCATAATTTCAAACAGTTCCACGATTGGGCTACTAGTTCTAAAGTTACAGCCCTTTGAATTTTTTTTCGAAGTTGGTTTCTAGTCTATAACTTTGGATTGAGAGGTCTGATCGAAAAAGTACGAATTGTTTTGGATACGCACCAAAGTTAATAAGAAAAAGTGTTTTCCCGAGAAATTTTGGAGTTGTCGATTTTTGGTAAAAAAGGTATAGTATTCAAATACTATGCGAAGTATTCGAATACTGATTGTGAATACTATTTGTGAAAGTATGTGAGTTACAAATACAAATACTGCTTCCATAAAAGTATTTAATTACAAAGCATTTGAATACTAAAAAGTATTTACAAAATCGAATTCTGCCCAGGTCTGCAACTAGGAATAAAATCGTGCTAAGCTACCTGACCACTATCAACCTAGCGACCAGCTTAGTGGAAAGCCACATCTTTTATGCAATCTTCATTTACAATGAGTCACTTTTCATCTTCTACATTTGTTTCTCGACAATTATACACGCGATCTCCACATAATCTTTAATGAACCTTTACAGCATCTCTACAAACAACCCTACGAAATGTGCACGTAGTTCTTCGAGAATCTCTTAAAATTGGTAGGTGCCATAGTTTCTATAGAACTTCTTCTAAAGGCATAAGTGCACATATTATGCTTTTCGCTCCAGTTATTACCGCTACTGCTTAATTAGAATTTTCGACACGTCCTTTTCTCCACAATGATTATCGTTAGTAAAGACAAAGACGTGCGTACAAATCATTGCCTCGAAACTTGCCCCCGCTGATTATCCGTCCAATTAGTATGACAAAAGTCTCAACTGTAGTCACGCTATGTTTTCCATTCACCATCAAATAATAACCTGTAAACCTGTCTTTCCCCAAATAGTGTCTAACAAACGTTTCGGATAATTAGAGGGTGGCGAATAGGCAATTTGTATCGGCACGCTAAGTGAGGGGTTTGTTTCATTGTACTGTACATATTGTCCTGTTATTATCTTCACCCCACGTATAACGCCCTACAGCCATTAAGTGAATTGATACGTTTTTATTTCCCGTATTTTTTCTTCGTTAAAATTGCATTAGTATCGTATATGCACGACAAACTTTCATGTTTCAGACGGAGTAGGCAACTCTCCTATAATTTAATCATAACGGGTTCTTTATTTAATCGGGGTTTATTGTACTTGTTTTGGTAACGCGTATTTAATAATGCTTAAGGGTTGGAAACAGAGTCTTTGAGCTTCCAAGGTGGTGCCAAGTCTTACCGGAGATTTCAATGGATGATACTATCGCTTTTGTGGAAGATGCTCCATAGACGATAGTTTTAGGACTTAAGATTCTGGTGTAGAATCTTTTGGGAAAAGATAATCGGCCTTTTTTTTGGGGGAAATTATAGCACCGGGGGATTTGAGGGTTATGGAATACCCCCCAGCACACAGAAAGGGTCTATTCTCTTTTCCCAAACGCTACCATGACGTATGTCATTAAACCTCCCTTTGCTGGGGGGTATTCCATACCCCCCAGACCCCCCGGTAGTATGATTTCCTCCAACATATTTAGGAAAATGAGTACGCTTGTGATGTTTGCAGGAAGTGCGGTCAAATTTTTCTTTTCTGGAACGTATTCCACACACGAGATTTGTAATTACTCAACAATTTGGGGGAGAATGCAACAATGGGAGAATTAATGACAAATGTCATTGTAGCTTTTGGTAAAATATAATCGATTCCAAAGGGGTTTCTAGAATCTTTACGTAATACACAGTTACCTAGAGCTTTTAAGAGCCTCAGTCTTTAAGGGTGTTTGAAAGCCAAAACACTATTAAGAAGCTCCTACAATTTTTTAATTGTTTTTGAAAACTTTTACGGGTTTTAGAAGGCCTTATAAACCTTTAACGGTAACGGTGACCCAAAGGACTTCAGAACTCTTCTGAAAACCTTAAGTTGATTTCTTGAAAGTGCTTAAGAGTCTTCGAAAATGAGTTTGTGCAGGTTGAGGAGCCTTTAAAGTTACTGACCTTTGAGGGTGTTAAGGATATTGAAGTGTTCAGTACTCAGGTTTTTCAGAGTTTCTGCAAATTGGACCTTAATGGGCCTTTAAGACCATTGAAAACACTTTACAAGGTCTTGGCTCTCTAAAAGATTGCAAGAGCAACTTTATAGCCCTTGAAAGCACCTAACAAGCCTTAAAGATTCCCAGTTTAAGAGATTTGCTTTAATGAGCTTAGGTTTCTGTATCACTTAAAAACCGCTGATGATCGAAAACCGCGTTCAAGAGCCCTGAGGCAGTCTAAAGGGTCTTCCGTTGGCCCTTAAGAGTGTTTCAAGGACCTTAAAATGTCTTCTCATCAGCTTTAGAAACCCTCACAAACTTTTAGAAACTCGTAAGAGTCGAGCCTTTGGGTTACATATTGATCTTGAAAGGTTCTTAATCTGTACAGCAATAAACTCTAAGGAAAATTTAAGAACCTTAGACCTTAAGGGTGTTTTAAGGTCCATAAAAGGTATTCTTAGCAGTTTTAGAAACCCACAAACGTTTAGAAAACTGTGAGGGTCGAGTCTTTAGGTAATTTATTCATCTTTGAGGGCCATTAATCTATAAAGTAACAAACCCTAAAGAACTTTTAAGGAACTTAGTCCTTAAGGGTGTTTGAGGGCCCTTGGAAACCCTCACAAGGGTTTAAGAACCTATAAGGGTAAAACCGTATTAATCTTTGAGGGTTCAGCAATAAACTCGCAGAATCTTTTAAAGCCTTACTCCTTAAGGGAGTTTTAAAGTTCTTAAAAGGGAAATTTAGACACTCTCACGAACTAGTAAGGGTAGAGCCTTTGGGTTACTTTTTAATTTTTCAGCGCCTTAATCTGTTCAGTAATAAATACCTTTAAGAACCTTAGTCCTTAAGTGTGTTTTAAGGTCCTAATAAGATCT